AAGTCGAACGAACATACACGTCCGTGAATCAATGCAGGTGTTCACGCTCAAGCTCATGCTCATGCTCACCTTCCTGTGACGTCAGACAGGTAAAAATGTATTGATAGAGCAGGGGTTTGTTTACACCACTCTTTAATATTTAAAGCAAGTACATTGATTGCATATTCCGGAGGCTAGCAATATATTCTCCAGGAAAGAATGTTCTACCCCTTTTTGAGTCATAAAAGTTAACCCTTCTCTCGTTTCAGTTTCAAGAGTTATTAGCGCCGGCGACAGCTCATAAAAAGGCGGCCAGCAGCAGGCCGTAATTGATCTGCTGACCCAAATATCACCGACGCCCACATAATGCCTCACCTTTCAAGCGAAAAAATCGACCATAAAACACTTTCACTGCGATTGGAGAGGTCGTAAAACAATAAATGAACATTGAAATATCGCATTCTGGGCTGCCTTCCGGTCGTGAACAAAAAAGATCTCGAACTCTATCTCCAGTGTCTCCAGTCGCCGCGAATTTATGTCAAGTGTGTAATGCGAGAAATCGCTCCACCAACTCTAAGTGATTTCAATGACGCGTGTAATTGATACGCTAATGGCCCTGCCCTAGCCTTTTATGATCAAATTTTTCTCGACTCGTATAATCTCTCATTTCAATTCCGTCACAAAATGTCACGCCAAACGAGGGACTCCGATCAGCGCTAGATCAGCCCGTGTAATTGTCATCTTTTAAGTGTCCATTGAGCTCTCGGCACGTTGTCGTCGTAAAATAATCAAACTATCGCTGAAATGCTCCTTACACATCACATAAAACGAACAGAACGACGTCTTCGTCGTCCAGAACAGATACGGAAATTATGAATTCACATCAAGACCTGCTAAGAGACTCCTCCATCGCGTCACTCGGACGTGATTAGCTGCTGCGGCTGGGACTGCAGCTGCCGCTCGCAATCGGATTTAAAAATGGAAAGTTTCTGCGGATTTATGAATGCAATGCGGCAAATGTTTACTTATTGCTACGCTTAGGGATTTTTACATAATTAGGTGGCACAGGCATGGAGGGTCTGGAAAACGACGACACTGTGTGCATCTGGGACAAGCTGATATTTTTTATTAATGGGTTAATCAGCTTGTATAAATATTTCCAAGAAGTTCTCGGGTAATATGATTTCTGATTTTAATTAAAATTTGAATAGCCTCTATATAGTGTTGATTGAATTGTTAAATAGACTTAAATGTAATTTTGATGGCTAATAAAATATGAAGAAACATAAATAAAGTGCTGTGAAATTTTTAACAAACACTAGTCCACCATTAAACTAAAATGGATCAACATATTGAAAACAAGAAAACTGTAGAAAGACAAAGTATTGTAAATAAATCATGGGGCCTCATCAAATCAGTCATAACTAAGCAAAAATGCAACAATTTTTAACTACTAAATTTTACTTTTCAAGAAAATAATTAGGGAGCACCTCTTGTAATTGTACCTAACATTCTTCCTCAATATTTTTGAATTCATATTTAAATTCGGCAAGGCTGCCACACGGCTGGAAAAAACTTAAGTGGCAGCTCCGTGTCAGGGCGAGTGAACTGCTTTTCTAAATTGGTACTGCTTGCACACTGCTTTGCCACACTGAACATAAATAGCTCATATTAAAACCTATGTGCTCTCTCTGGCGGAACATTCATAGACCTAATATGGAGGGAACTTTTCAAATTCGAATTCAAATTTGGAACTTGAAATAATTAATTTTTGTTCTTTTGTTATTGTAAATTGGCAATTGTTATTGTTGTAAATACGTTGTTGTTTGTTTTTGTTGTTGTCGACTTCAATTTGAAATTTTTTTGTACAAATGTTTAAATTGTTTGATTTTATATACCAGGCGAACAGGAAGCGACAGAGTGAGGAGTTAATCGATTTAATTAAAATATAAGATCTTAAGTATGTTTGATATATAGTTTTTGTTATTTAATACATTTTTATTTGACGATGTAAAACTTTTTTAGGAAAACCAAAAGACAGTTAAAAAGATAACTGAAATACTGTAAAAACTCGTATTATTGTTGTAAAGAATAATACATAATTAATAAAACCCCTTTCCAGTATTTTTGAATTTCGAACTGAATCACTCACCTACTAAAACACATCACATAAAAATGCAGCCACCAGCACGTTTCCAAAGAGAATATCAAAATATTGCAGGGAATGCCCGGTGGTGATCACATACCTCTTCCAGGAAAACGGAAAAGTAGAACACTTCCTGGCATCTTGTGATTGTGCATAGTCGAAATCCATCTGCAATTAATCATTTATGAACAGGATAGCCCAATTGTGGCAGCCTGGTCAGCACTATCCATTACGTAACCGCAAACACATCCCGGCCAAGTGCGTGCAAGGAAGCGGGGGGGCAGGGACTCCGGTAAGGCAACTAACGGAGGGATTATAAGGCGCTGTCTAGCCAATTGCAATGGCTTTACTTTGATGTAAAGTGCCGACAGCATGGCAAGCCTAAGCGGACTATTACACACAGCCGCACACTCGCACACACACACGTACGGTGTGTATATTGCAGGCAAATCAGTCTAGACGGCTTAATACAAAGGCAATTTCTTTTTGTCATCGAATATCCTTGAGGCACCGCAAATTGCCGTCACTTAAGCTGTTGTCCGCCCACCTGCCCCAGCCTGGCACAACCCTTCCTGCTCACCGCTCACCACTCCCCCCTCTCCACAATCGCTTGGGCTACTAATTATCGTGAGAAATGTCAAAGATAGCTGAATATGGGGAAATTACGCATACGCAGCGTTGTCCGATTGATATGCAAATTGAATGGGACGAAGTATGTAAGTCTATTTATGGCCCAACATTATTTGCAAAGAGCTCACTCATTCATTTCCGGTGGCAGTTCAAATGTCATAGATGCCGCTTTGATGTGCCTGAGACATTTGATTTATTCTGACGGGGCGGAAGCTAAAAACAAGCAGCGGAATATATCTATATTCTGCCGATTTCATTCATAAAATCGAAGAAGAAATGCTTGCGAATTTAAATGATATTTTAAGTAGAGTGAGGCAATTTATATATCGTTATTTTAAGAACATTGTACAGTCTTCACTCGATGTAGGGGCTTTACAAAATTATTAAATACTACTTTATTTTAAAGTAACATAACGTATGATATCAAAATATAAACTTATATAAAATTGAGTTGCTCAAGACTTTTAATTAGCTAAGCCCATTCAAGGGGGAAGTATTTGATTATGTATATTTAAGAATAGACCTATATCTTTATTAATTAAAGCTAAACATTTTATCAAATTATTTGGGTTTTAAAATAAAACTACAGCTCGAAGAAGAAAGTTTAGATTGGTAAAGGAAAACCCCGCATTTCTCCCACCAAATTGTGGGCAGTAATGGCAGTGTCTCATTAGATGCACTTCCAATAAATAGCCGCTTCTATGTGGCAGTAGCAGATACATTGCATAGCATTGCATCCGCGCTGGCCATCATTAGTGGGTTAAGGTGGCGGAGGTGGTGCAGGTGCAGCAGCTGCTTCTGGTGGCAGAGCAGCCAGAGGAGCCGGAGGTTAAGCTATCAGCAAGCGGGCTTAATACCCGCCCAGCACGCCATTGGCCAATAAAACGCTCCGCGCCGTAATTGACGTAGAAATCGCACAGCTCCTCGGCTGTTCAGCCGCTAAGCTGTCCAGTTGCAGTTCCGCGGCTCCGAGACTGCGCCGAATGTCTTCATTTGCAGAGCAGGGAGCCATGGGCATGGGGCGGCGGGGAAAATCCGAAAAGCAAAGCTCAGCCCGCGAATATCTGACAATTAGATCTAAATTATGACGCTGTTTGCGCCATAAAGAAATCGTTTTTCTCGGCTGCCTGACTGGCAGCCGCTTTGCTCTGGCCAAACAATAGACAGTTAAGGCCGTGGATAAAGATAAAGCTATGCTTCTATGTGTGCCTGCTGCACTTAATGAGCAGAGCTGAGCGGAGTTGTGCTGAGCGAAGCGGCGCTGAGCTGCGCAACATGTTGCCTGCAACATGGGGGCCATGCAGCCGGAAATGCATTTCCGGCAACATGTTGCCGCTAAGCGGTTGAGCGAGTTATTTACATGCCTCTCACGCACACAAACAAACAGCAGCCGGCAGCCAACACGGCACGGTGTACAGTGTACAGTGCACAGTGCATTGTGGGTAAATTCTGCAGTTTTAATTCCCTTTCAGGGTATCATAATTCTAGTCACAAGTTGGAAAACTCAATGAAGGAGCCATTTCCGACACTATAAATCATATATATTCTTGATCAGCATTAAAAGCTGAATCGATCTAGCCATGTCCGATCGAAATCTATTTTTTTCACAATTTTCGGAAATTTCAAATTTTCATAAGGGGTTACATCATTAAAATTGTAAAAAATTGGCAAAAAATTGAATTTTTTAAAATGTTAAATTGAGTACGCAGATTTATTAACCTAATAAAAACTAACATAGAACCATTTTCCGAATTGAAATAAATGCATTTTTAGCTTAGTTATGATATATTTACTATTCGCCCCATGTCCTATGTACAACTAATATTCGACTTCCCGAAGATAGCTTTATTTTGTTTTTGTAAGTAAATTATTTACTTCAGCATTTAGCCAGATAATGTATTTAATTTTAAGTAAGCATAGAAACGATCACACAGTTATATCCTATACCTTACAGAATTAATTTTCTAGGTTTGTAGAGGCTCTACTTTGCAAATACCAAGGGAAATAAAGATGTGCAAAATAGTAAACATTGTTTTATATATTTTAAATTTTTGTTTAGAATATTCTTGAAGAATTAATAACTAATTTGACCGACTGAAAGAACTTATGGCTGAGGCTCCATACAAGCTCCAACCACTGTGCATTGGCGGCCGTTCGTGTGTCTGGGTGTAAGACTGCCGTCTGGCGTCTCTTTTCTTACCTAAATGAGAACTTTGGTTTTCAAAATTCAGTCGGCATTCGACCATCAGATGGAGCGCACGTTAGCTTTCCTCCTCGTTCGCTCCTTGGCTGTGGCAGCAGCGACAGCAGTTTCCAGTTTCGTGGTTCCAAAAGAGAACTAAGTTTAAGTCCCCGCCGAATCGGGGAAATGTAAATAAACTCGAAATACGCAAAGCTCAGCAAAATATTGTGCAAAAAAAAAAAATTAAGAAAAACAAAATACGATCAAGACTCCGGTGGTAGCTTTTAATTTTTTGTGTTTTTATTTTTCTTATTTTTTGTTGTTGTTTTAAAATTACCAACTAATAGAACTTGTCGATCATTTTACTGCTAATTTATTGGCAAATAAACAATACGGTCAAGTGCGGAAAATAACTTAATCAATAAAAAGAGACTACGAAGTGCATTTAAGAAAAAGGTGAGCACGAAATTTCAATAAATAAACTAAAATAAAATAAGGAAAAAAGTGCTTTCTCATAGACAGACATCGGCTGTTCCGACAGCAGCTTTTCCACGTATAATTAACCATCTCAGACAATAACAAAATTCTTGCATAGTTGTCAACAAATGGTCAACGATCGGAAGACTCAATAACAGCTCCGATTTCATGTGAGCCGATATATTGTTTACACAGCCCGAGACTCGGTCGGTTTGCTGTGTCTGCATAGGATTCCGCTACGGAATGGGACTGGGATTGGGATTGGGATTGGGATGGGGACTTGAACTTGGTTTGGGATTGGAATTAGAGGGAAGAGGTGGAGGGTTCAACTCGTAGAATAAGCAAATAGCAATTTCACGCGCGCGCGCGCTTTTCGCTTCGACTTGGCCATCCTGCAGATTTCCTGTTTACTCGGCGACATTTCTGGCGGCTGTTAATGAGCCGTCCTGCTGGCCAAGAACAACAAATACAAATACTAGTAGTCTAGTCGACACCGGTCTCAAATGCCGGCGTATTTTCTGCCTTTTTGTTGTTTTCCTTTTTCGGGGCCAACTCTGCGCATGTGCAACGCGTGACGTCGAAGCTGGAGAAAAACAAACACCTTGAAGATGAGGTAAAAAAAAACAGCTCAGGGATCTTGGTCTCAGCAGCATCTTGGGTCAGTCTGGACTGCTGTGGTCAGGGGAATAGCTTAGGTATTATTTAAGGATATCTCAGTAGATTCAAATCTAAAATATATGTGGCTATTGCTTTATAAACTTCTATATGAACTATTACCACCTTTAATTTGGCTTCTCTAGGGCAAAATTTGGATTTCTAAGGTGTCTTTTTAGTTACTTATTTTAGAAATTGTTTGATTAGGCTTAAATTAAAATAATATACACCGGCAGCACATGATAAATTTCAAGACTTACAGATAATAAGATAAAAAGGATACTGATATCACTACAACCTAAATCCCTGCATATTTAAATTATATAAAATAGATTGGCAATAATAGTTATAGCCAAGCATATATCTCAAAAGTTCTTTATAACTATAAAACACAGTTGTTGTCTTTTAAATTATAAACTATTAAATAAGTAATGCCAAATATAAAAGAACTATCTAGAGTTGCTATAGACTGAACACCCCTTTATGTTTATGATGACATATACTTAGAAATTAAAGTATTCATTATAAGATATATAGAATATAGTAGTTTTTATTGGCAATATGAAACAGGAAATATATCAAGCTCTCAGTGTTGTTGTTTTGATCGCAACTGTGTCTGTTTTGTCCGGCGAGCCTCCGCCCAGAGAGGGAACACCAAGAGGCAGTCCAGCTGTCTGCTCTTGCCCGGCTGGCGATGCTGCTGCTGATGATGATACAGCTACTGCCGGGGTTTGATTTGATTTGTTTGTTGCTTTATGTATATTTATTGAAAATTTACTGCTTGCATAACAAACAACGGAGCAGAGCCCCTGCTGCCACTGCCGTTGTCATATGCAAATGCGTATGCGTACGCGCATCGGGGATAGTAAGAGGATGGAGGGACAGGGACTGAGGCGGGACTGGGACTGTGGGACAGGGGGCAAGTGTCATTAATCTCGCGCCAAAACGGAGACGCACAGTTTACTTTGGCTGATGAGTTTGCCGAAAGGAATTTCCTGGTGTTGACTGTTGACTGTTGACTGTTGACTGTGGCGAATGACAAACTGTTTCCTTAGAAACTTCCTTGCCGGTCGCCGGTTGCCGTTCGCCGCTCCCCGAATTCGATTTTGGCCATTTGTTGTTTATGAAACCAAATACGTTGACCCTTTTTTTTTTTGTTTTTTGGTAGCACAGTTATCCAAAGAGACGGCGGCGACCCACAGGGTTTCGCAGAACGGAAAGGCTAAAAATAGCTTTAGAGCCGACTCTGATTCGGATTCAGATTCGGATTGGGATCGGTGTTGCGCAATCGGCCTGAATGGCAGCATAAAGTCGGTCGGTGACTGGATTTTGTGTCCAGCCTAAAAAAGAATGGAAACGAAGGCACACGGAGAGAAAATAATAGGAAATTCATAGGGCTAATGAAATTTATCAGGTAAAATTTGTATATTCTTGTAGGGGTATTCTAATTTTAGTCAGAAGCTTGTTACGCAGAGAAGGAGTCATTTCCGACCCTATAAACCATATAAATTCTTGATCAGCATTAAAAGCTGAATCGATCTAGCCATGTCCGATCAAAATCTATTTTTTTCACAATTTTCGAAAAATTCAAATTTTCATAAGGGGTTACATCATTAAAATTGTCAAAAATTGGCAAAAAATTGAATTTTTTTTAAATGTTAAATTGAGTATGCAGGTTTATTATGCTAATAAAAACTAACGCAGACCCTTTTTCCGAATTGAATTTAAAGCATTTTTGGCTGAGTTATGATACTTGAAAAAAAATTTTGATTTACCCAAAAAATTAGTATATAAAAATATCTATTTAATTTAAAACTCCAAGTAAAACTAGAATCTTTATTTAAAAAGTAAGCAAGCTTAAATACACTTCTAATTTAAAATATTTAAGTTATTAAAAACTAAAGAATTCTTCTAGAAGAATTCCTTCTTGACTTTCACTTAAAACAAAAACAGATCGTTGTCACCCATTTTTCCCCCTGCTTACTTATAATATTTATATAACAGTTTCCCAGGATCGAATCGCAGGTTTCCACGATCTGTTGTTGTTGTTGTTTGTTTGGCAACTTTATCTGTTTTTCCGAAATATATTCTGTAACGCCGCCGTCTGGGAGATCGGTTTTCGTCGAGCTCCAGGTTGCAAGTTCCCCCAGACACAGCACGTGCTCCAAGGCATGCTCGCTTTATAATATGATACGCACTGTGTTTGTTTTGGGACTCAGACTGGGCTCAGACTGGGACTCGGACTGCAACTTTAAGAGCGACTTAATCTAATACGCAAATGTAACTAAAGGCGGTGCAATGCCCGAAAGAACCGCAGTGAAATTTAGCACCACATTTGATGCAAGCCCCCAAGACTTGAGGTTGAAATTATGCACTTGCTCTGGCGAAGTGCAGTGGCAAGTGGCAGTGGCAGGATCAGCGCAGCAGAAGATGCAATTCAATACAAACGAACCACCAAAAAAAAAAGAAGCACACATTCTCGAAAAGTCCAGAATAAATGCCCAAAAAACATGAAAACAGGTCTTTTTCGATGCGGCGGCTTGGCGGCCAACGGTCAAACTGCATCTCTCGAGGAGCCCAGGCATTCGCCTTGGCTGAGGCTATATCTATATGGCTTGGTATGGTATATAGACTCTCTCGTGAATGTGTGTGTCTCGGTTTGGCAATGCAGTTGTTCCCGCCGAGGAGAATGCATTTTGTGGCCGCTCCTTGCATTTTTCCCCCTGCTGCTGCTCCTGTATTGTGCCTCGGTGGCTGTGCCCCAAAGACATTTTTGCAGGCACTCAGGAATTCGAGGCATTCCGATCTTGGAACCTTGGGTACAGTAAGTGCCGGCCAGCCCAGCGAGCTGAAGGAAAGTCCTTAGCGGATCGCCAGAGATCGGATAAGAAATCGCTGGGCCTAGGTATTGTCAAGGTGGATTAACACTTTCACCGCACTGCGAGAAAAGACGAGTTTCTATAAGTAAAGATGGAGATTTATAGGTCTTTCAATAGCTATTAGTTATAAAGATTATTAAGTATTTAAGATAAAGGTCTATTAAGCTTTAATCCTAAGATAAAAAGCTATTAAAAAGAAGGCAATGTAAAAAAGGAAACCTAAATTAAAATTCCTAACATTTAAATTTAAAGTTTAAAATGGGAACCTATAGTAATGATTAAGATATACCCTTCTCACCTATAATATGTTAAATCTATAAAAAGGGAATGGAACCTTGAAGAAAGATACAAATTAACCCAGTTCCTTCTTTAAGAAATAACAATAATTATACGACACGGGTCTTAAAGAACTTTGTAATTGATCCCCAACTAGTTTCTTTCGGTGCATAACGTGGGCTTTATGCCTGGACATGTGGATTAGTCCGTTACATTTGTCGTAACTAAGTTATTTGCGATACCGTCTGCAAAGGTTATAAAAACCCATTGACTGCAAGCGGGTCTAAAAATAGCCTCACTGCAGGAATGCAGCTCGAGCTCGAAGTCGAGCTCCGACTGCAACTGCAACTCCAATCCTCAATGTCCAGACACCGATTCCCATTCCCCCCAGTTACCAGGCACCCAGTTCCCCAGATCCCCAGCCCGCCTTGCTCAATCCCCCGAGGACCATGGCAAGTGCGTGTGCTATGGATACCCTTAAAGGAAGTATATATATTATATTGTTAAAATTAAGTTTTGTATCGAAGATATATAGGAATATTTATGAATGGGAAAGCTCACTTGCAAAAGATTATAAAATTCTATAGGGATGCTGAATTATTGAACTTTGGTTACTATTCAAATCTCCTTACCCTTTCTCTTACTTTAATTTATTCATCCTAAAAGCGAAGACTATTGCTTTCTTGATTTAATGAACTATAAAGCTATAAAAATTTATATCATGCCCTCTTCAACTTTATTTATTTACCCAAATTACTGTTAAGCCAAATGGTATATTTCCTGGAAACTATAAATCCCACCAAGGACATTAAAAGTTCGGCTTGCATAAGCTGGCAGTTTTTTCTGGCTGCTTTTTTTGTAATCATTTTTTACGGGTCTGTGTGAGTGCAGACATCGTCTGGCGGGCATCGTCGCGCCGGCTGGACAGGCGACGGATGCGGATGCGGATGCAGGGGCAGAGACGGACATGGAGGCGGACGGTGGTCATACAAAATGTCGCAACGCGTGTTAACGCAATAATTTTCTCTGGACCTGAACTCCAGACGCAGTAGGTCATTAATTGCCGCTGCTATGTGGCATGCCACAAGAGCAGGAGCAGCGGCAAACAGCAGCTGAACTTTCGATAATGGCCGCGGGCCCCACCTGAAGTGGGCTAATTGAATAGGGTAGCAGTCGCCTCAAGGACGTTCGCCGAGTTGGCCAAATTAGGATACTCGAGCCGAGTCACACTCCAGTCACGTTCCGTGCGGCAATTGTTGCATGTGGCTGGCACGGCCCCGGCTTCAGTCGCAGTCGCAGTCTGTTCCCTTCGTCGTCTGCATATGTTGTCTAGAGCACGTCCTTAAAGTCATGGCGATGACACTGACAACCATCCACAACGTTGTGGAGTGGCGGATGGCGAAGGCACTGGCAATGGTTAAGCTCTGGCCAAGCCAGCCAAAATAAAACAAATGCCAAACTAACGCGGCAAACAATCTGCAAAGTCACAAACATTTACACAGAGAGAAATATGGTAATGTGAAGTAAGAATTAGAACAAAGGTTGAGACAAGGATACCTCATCATTTGCAATTATAGAATACAATAGAATACAATTCAAATAATCAAGCAAACATTTCAATTGCACATTATGTATGTATATTTAAAAGTCAAATACCGCTTAGGAAATATTCGTAATCCTTTTATAATGTACATTAAGGTTTCCCCAAAATTCTTCACCGTGCAATTAAACAAACAGACAGACAGACAGACGGAGGCAGAGATGGAGATGGAGACCGAGACAGACCCGAAGCCCAGACAGACGCTGCATAATGTGCAAAATGCGCCAAACCTACAACAAGGCGGCAGCAGCAGCAACAACAACAACGCAGGCAGCAACAGGTTCTTTATTTTTAGTAGTCGCATTTTGAAAACCGCCTGCTCAATGTCAACTCAACGTTTGAGACTTAATTGTTGCCTCTTTGCCGTCGTTTTTGTACAAAACATTCTTTGTGCTTGACTGGCTGTTCTTGTTGCCGCTGTTGTTGCTGTTGCTGCTGCTGCTGCTGTTGGTTGCATCATGTTGCTGGCGTGCCACTCGAGGCGGCTGCTCCTCCACTCGAGTGTCAGTGGCAGTGGCTAGAACCTTTGTGCGCCCGGCTTAATTGAAGTTATCCCCCTAGTCCTCCAGTAGTATTTCCCCAACATCCCATCCTAGCACCATTCTACCTGTTGGCCTAAGTGTTTGCCTTCCTTTTGTTTATCCGCAGCATTTGCCGTTGTCATGCCTCATCATCATCAAACGAACAGCCAGACCAACTTGACATTTCTAAAATCGAATTACAAATTCAAGCGCAGAGAGATGGGGATCCGCGGACTTCCTGCCACGTCAGCGGAAGCGCGTACAGTGGCTAACCAATTAACGCCAGCAATGTCGCAGACGTCAGCATCAGCAACATCAACTAAAGTGGCAACATCTGAGGGAACAGCGGCTGAACAATTGGCGACAGCAGCAACTAGCCGCGAATGTAGAACAATTCTAAGTTTATTTATAGTAAACGCATGGAGCTTTTTGCAAGAATTGGCCAATTGCTGGTGTACCCTGGATGACGATCACTGGGCCTCGGCCGCCGTCCCTCGTCGTGACGTCAATCGTCGTCGCAGACGCACGACCAACACCGCTGACGAAGAGGTGTCAATGGCACGTGAACACCAACATAAGCGGCAGCAGCAGCAGCAACACCACCAGCAGCAGCAGCAACAGCAGCAGCAACACGAACACTTGCCCGGTTCTAGTCCAGTGAAGAGCATGCGCTGCACGGGAGCGGGAGCAACATCGCTAGCTGGACAGCCTTTGATGGCTCTGTTAATTGGCCTGCTGCTACTGGATCTTCGCCTGGCGGCGGGTAAGTCTCCAGAGTGTGCATCGTACATGGTACATGGTGTGGTTACATCGAAAAGTGGCGCCATCCAGTTCATTCGCCTCTTGATAAATGTGTCACATTATATTCAAATATGACGCAATTTCTAAGGCGCTTGGTCCGGCCTCTGTTTTGTTTGTTTATCCATCATATGCCAAATCTGCTTGGGCCTGCCAAATCCATTTGATCACAACAACCAGACTAATCACAACAGCAACAACAACAATGGAGAGAATATCAAACTATAGAAAAAGTAAAGCAAAAACTCTGAAGAATTTGCAATCTGCTCGCGCGAATTCGATTAGCAGCCGGCACAATTCTTCCCGAATCTTCAAACGTAAACAAATAATATTTGTTTTGGTCTTGGAAATACCTGCATGTAATTAGAGTACCCAGAGTGGAGTCTGTTTTCACATGTTTTCTTCTTCCGGTTAAGCTCAGGGAAAATGTCATTTAATATTTGCAATTATAATTTGCTTACATTTGCAATAAGAGGGGAAATAATGTAGTAAACAATTACGAATTTATTGAACAGCTTCCCCAATTCTCTCGCCAATACAGCTGGCACCTGCTGGCAAAATCACCTGGGCAGCGGCAAGTGCGGCCAGGTCTTCTCCACGAACATCACCCGGTCCGAGTGCTGTGGCTCCAGCCAGAGCTTCTCCTTTACGGATCGAGAGCTGAGCAGTGTGGAGTACTTCTTTGCCACGGCCATAGGTGGCGGCGTAGAGTGCTCGCCCTGCATGGGTAAGTAGCCCAAAACCAGGATCAAAGGAAGTCCATTTCCTATTTCCCCTGTTTTCCCTTAGAGAGCTGCAAGGGCTTCAAATGTGGGCCAAATAAAAAGTGTGTGAAGCGCAAAGGTCGACCCAAGTGCGTCTGTGCTCCCGAATGCGGAGCGGCTTTGCGTCGCAAGCAGCAGCCTGGAATGCCGCCCCGCGATTCCCGTAGTCTAAGTAGTGAAAATTCCAACACCAATTTAGGTTTAGACGGCAGCCAACGCCAACACATTGCTGATAACCAAAGAAAGCTGCAGCAGCAACATCAAAATCAAGTGGCGAGTCCCAGTCCGACTCCGAGTCCCAGGCACCGTCGCCTTTTGATTATAGACAGCAGCAATTTGCCAGATCGCTCCAGATCACGCGGAGGCGTCGTCACTGCCGGCCGGGTGGAGATGACGGGCTACGAGAGGCGCAGACAGAGGAACAGCCATGGCAACGGCAAACACTTAACAAGATCAATGACGACAGGAGCCAATGACTCGTCCAAACCAGCAGACAAGACGCCTGCGCAGTCAGTCGCAGTCGCAGTCCCAATGGCTCCAGTGGAAGCTCTAACTCAGCCTCCGTCTAGACGCAACTTGGCGAATGCTAATGAACCCGCCAACGACATTAATAGACAGTCGGATAATGCCCGCCTCAGACACCAGCACAACGGCAGACGCATGGAGCTGCACGCTCCACATCCAGACAATGGGCACAGGGACAGAGACAGGGACAGGGACAGGGACAGGGGGCAGAGGCACAGGCTTCGTCTCCGGCACAAGGATGCTTATCCAGAAGTCGAGGCGAATTCAACCACCGGTGGTGCCACCAGCACAGTGGTGTCTGGGTCGAGGTTTCGCCTGCAACACGGAAGTGAAACGGCTGCGTCATCGGACTTTGCTAATGCCCATGACTTGGCCTTTTTGGGCGGCATCTACGAGGTGAGTCGCACTCTGGGTCTAGGTCTGCTTGGGGGCCACTAACTCTGATCTTTTTTCCAGCAGCACTCCTCCAGTCTAAGTCTGAGTCCCAATAGCAACAGCAATCCGGTTTGCGGCAGCGACGGACGCACCTACAACACCGAATGCCAGCTGCGCAAGCGCGCCTGCCGCACCAACAACGCCCAACTGGAGGTCGCCTATCGGGGCCACTGCAAGAGTAAGTCCACCCAGTGGCCAGGGAATGGGGCAACCGGTGGGTACTGCTCGCGTGCCAAAACGCAGCAGCGCCACAATTAGATTAGATGACAAATTATTGCACATTTCAATTACGGCCAACAACTTGTCGCCAGCAGAGCCAGCCGAGTCAGTGGTGAAATCGACTGACCAGCCACATCTCTAGAGCTGCCCAGGGGGGCGCAGCAGTGGCCAGAAATGTTGTGTAATAATTTAATGATACAGGAAGCACTCGCAAACATGCTCAAATGATCAATAAAAACGGCATGCAAGAACGATGAGCCAACAAGAACTCTGAGAACTCGTTGGATTAGCCGCGAGCACACGACATTCTATAGGAGTTGCTCTTGCCGGTTATTTGTTGCAAGTTGCAGGAGCAGGAGCAACAGCAGCAGCACCACCAGCCAGCTATTCCAGCCATCTAACGTTTGGCGCGTGCCAATATATCCCCTGGAATGCCCAATCGGCAATTCACATTCAATTGCGAGCGGAAAAAATGATTGCAATATTTTTCGCGAGTGCCACAGTTGGCGCCAAGGCGTTTCACCTTCTCGCATCAACGGAGCACAGCACAGCCACATATGCATATGTCCCATGATAAATTTCGACAGTTTATTGCCGGCCATATAGGCAGATATAACCAACAGAGAGTGTCTGCCAGAGCCACCAGAGCTAATCATAGAAATTGGCCAACTGCTTATTTATAGGCGTCTCTACTATATATCCGAACAGCATTTGTTAATGCCAAAAGCAAAACAAAGTTGCAAGGTGCTATAGGGTTTTTAAATCTGATTTTTGCATTGATTTTGATTACTTAAAAAGGGGTCTTACTACGTAAGAATTTAAGCAATTTACTAGAACATTTTACTTCATTAAAGTTATATTTAGTCTGCCATTCTATTTAACATAATATCCAATACAATATATTCAAATTTAACAATTAATTAGGAATATGTATCCAATGATTTAAAGCTCCTACTCTTCTCAATCCCCAGCTAGCTGCCACGGTGTCCAGTGCCTCGATGGTTTATCCTGTGTGGAGGATCAGTACATGATGCCCCACTGCATTGCCTGCCAGATTGATTGTCCCTGGGATGGCCTGGATCTGGATCTGGATGCGAATTCAAGTGGCTACGACGAAAGGCAGGCGGTTTGCGGTGTGGATGGGAAGACATACAGGAGCGCGTGTGATATAAATCGAATGATTTGCCAAATTGGACGCTCCATTGCCGTGGCATATCCGGGACCCTGTCGAGGTATGTATTTTGGCCTAAATGGAAATCAATCAAATCAGATTAATTGGCATGGAGGAGAGTCAGAGCCATAGACATTGCAGTTGGCAAATTGCTAGCTGCAGTTGCAGTTGCAGTTGCAATCCCTGTGGCAGTCGCTGTTGCTGTTGCTGTTGCTGTTGCTGCTGATGTTGATGTTGCAGTTGTGCGAATTTAACAACAATCAACAAAGAACCGCAATTTTGCATTTGATTGACTCGACTGAGGTTTCCAGCCAAGTTAAGCTGTTGTTAAGAGTCGCGTCTCGGCCGCAGCCACAAGTGGTTGTTGCCGTCGCCGTCGACGTCTGCAACATGGTCATATCAAGTTGCCGTCGCTGGGTCGGGTCTCCAGTCTCCGGTCTCCGGTCCCCGGCCTCTCCGGTCCCCGTCTCGGTGTTTGGCTAAAATTGCTACATTTGCTTATACGGCTCCATGATTGCCAGCAATTTGATTAGCCCGTCGACTCTGCTCCACTTTGACTGCCTCGGCGATGGCGATGGCGATGGCAACTGCAACGCCTCTACGACACCGCGGCGCATCCACAATTACTCGTACAATTGCCATTGCAATTGCAATTACAATTACAATTACAATTACCCTCTCTGGGAACACTCGCGTCGTCGGCATCATTCATGCTTATTAATTTTGCGGTTGCCATCCGATTGATCGACTCCGATTTCCAATTAATTATAATGCCCCTCGCCAGACCACCAATGGGCGGGGATGCACAGTGATAAACTATTCAATAATTTCATTAATACATTTACATATATTCAATTCTGAAACCATATGCATATTCATATTATACTATGTGTGTGTCATATTTAACATTAATTTTGGTTCCTTGTTGTTCCTTAGTGTGATACTAAAACATTCTTATTCATATTCATATTTATTCTTCATATTCATATTCATATTCATACTCATATTCATATTATACTATGTATATGTGTGTCATATTTAATATTAATTTTTGGTCACTTGGTTCCTTATTGATCCTTATTATTCCTTGTTTTGTATTTCATAAAAATGTAGAAATTCCAAAAGATTAAATTTAATTTCACGGCTATTAATCTATCTAGAATCAATACAAATTTCCTATATAGATTTAATGACTTTTATATTAGTTGCATTTCATTTAAATAGATTAAATATTAGACCTCATTAATAAACATATGTATTCCTATATATACATTAACATTCATGTAATCATATTAATAATACGATGGGTGCCATTTAATATTATCATTTATCATTCAGCAAGTATTCATTTATAGGAAAGAAAATTAGTTTTAAAAAATTATATTATAAGAACCATAAATTAAAAAAGGATGTTATTGTATTTAAAATCACTGACAGCATCAAGAATATTGTAATTAGTGGTTAACCGATGTTATTTGCTTTTCGCATTAAAGATATGTTAATATTCCATATTTCCTATATTTATATGTATTTCTGATATACAAAACACCCCATGTAAGGTATTTTTTTGGATTGGAGAAATTCGCAGACTTCTGAGATAAAGTCATAATTCGATTTGCATCAGTTCGTTAAAAATAATCCATATTGATCGGTGTTACAAATCATAAGATAAATAGCATACATTTGTGTTCCAAAATATTATATTTATAAGATTTTCTAAGAGGTCAAATTATATCATATATCATATCATATCATATCATATCATATCATATATCATATCATAAACCTAGAAAGCATTTATCATTGTTGAATTTTTGAATTGATTGTTATTAACATAGAGACATCTTCATGATATAATGATACCTGACCGAAGCTCACATTGATTAGGAGTATGAGTATGCTCTGTTATTCCTGGATCTGGATTCCTTTTATTTATATAAATTCCTACCTATATATTAAATGTTTGGATCCTGGGATTTATATTGGGTATTATGTAAAGTTATTAAAGTTATTAAGTTAGTTAAATGTCTGCAAATGTTAGAAAAATATCATGATACCAAACCGACAGATAGTTAATTTTTTCTTCCTGTGTGGCAATCACTGCTGCTGGAAGGAAGGCGTGGAGGGCGTTCCGCTGTCGCACCAAATCCGGAGACGAACTTAAGAACCTCGGTTCAGATCAGATCAGAACGGAGATGGAGATAGCGATGGCAATGGCGATGGAGACGGACGGAAACTAGTTTAGTGTGCCATGGGGGCCGAAGATACAAAGAGGGCTGCCCGACTGCAATTGCCTGTTAATTGCAGTGTTTGTCGCAAATTACAGCATGTACATGGTTAATGCGAAAACAAAAGCTGTCAATCCAGCGCCAACAGCAGCTGCCGTTGACGGAATACCCCCTGTTGGGTCACCGCATTGCAGGGTATTATTATTTATCAATGTTGCAAACTTGCGTCTTCCTCAATTTCCATGATAACTCCTTTCAGACGATGTGCATATATTCATGTACATATTCATATTGTTCTGGTTCATATATACTACATATGTTATGCCCAAAATTACTTGATTTTGGCAGGAATTTAATTAAAATAATAATTGTGACTTTGATAATTGCATTTGCATAATGATAAAGTGAAGTATTTAATGTTCTCTGCAGCGTATTTCCTAGTCATGAATTGCAGACCTTTACTTGGTGACTAAGTAAGCATAATTATCTTAATATTCCTGTGCATTCCTGTATTTTTGTAAAATATTCATCTAACCTATTATATTTCTAAAAAAAATAATTTATGAATTATAAAGGACGATTATGTTACTGCCTGTTTCTTGTTCATTGCAAATATTTCATGGTCATCAACTTATGCTTATGCTGCGTAAATCATTGTTTAATTAAACCTTCATATCTGGATTATAAGCCCTGGGGAATTCATTTAAAACTGTAATATCCCAGAGAGCTAGTCGATTTTTTAACATGTCCTTTTCTCATTTAAAATTTACTCCAGTATGTACTGTATCCCTGTACACTCATACTTCTGTTTATTCTTGCCCATTCAATATGTATTAAAATCCCATGGAAATTCATTTAATTCCGTAATATCCCAGATAGTTAGCCGATATTCAATTCCTCCGATCTAACAGAACATTGAAAACTATATTAAATACATACGTGACACGCTGTACTCCTCTGACTTCAGTATGACCTAAAAGTTGGGTGGTAGGGTCAGCACTAAAGTATTACATAAATAAAGTGTAAGTGATATAGATAATACATGTTTATTTGAAATCAACTTACCAGGCTTCTCTGGTAGTACAGCATAATTTTCTGTTCAGTCCATCGAGCAAAAGGTATCCATGCCTCCGAAGTTCGATCCTGGTTTCACTTTTGATATATATTTCACAACTTTATGTGATGATTGGGCTTTCTAGAGGTCTGGATGTCCTTACTGAATTTTTGTAAATTAACCAGAGATGGTATTCTGATGGATTGCCTTTCAAAAGCCGTTTGAAGTTCAGTAAAAACAACTAGACCTCGAGTTAGCCAAAACATCTTTTAAATACATTTACAAAAGGTAGCCAAATGTTGGATATTTAATTTTTTCTTTATTTTTGAAAATGTTTTCTCCCTTAGACCGTACAGTACAGTGCTTGGAGAACGAATGAGTCGAAGGAAAGTCTAGGTTCTATAGGTCTTGACATTCAAAGACGTTTAGGTCACAGCCTTCTAGGCTTGCTTTCAAAAATTCAATTATTCAAATTCTCACCAAACAACCAAGAACTGATTTATTCATTCATCGATCTGTCCATCAGTCTGTCAGCTTGAAGTCTTTGCTTACTAATCGGTTTTAACAGTAGCCGGGTTCTAAATTAAGATCATTAGCTATTATTCACTTTTGCTTTTAGCTGAGCCACGCAACTCTTAACTAGCAACTTGCAACTTGCAACATGCCAGTCGCAGCTCAGAGCTCGAAAACAAGTGTGCGTGAGTCCCTGCAGTTTGTTGATCTCTCCAAACTTCCTCTCCGGAGCCCCCATACCCGGATCCTTCCGCTTCCCTGGGTTCCTTCCTGCTGCTTAATGTGCGTCTGGTACTCGTTATGTTACGTGGATCGTCTGGCGATAAGATAGTGCAGCGTGCGCGTGTCTTGCCTCCCGAGCTTTTTATCTTCATGGTTAGTAAGTTTATGGTTCTCGGGCATTTGTTTGTTTGTCTGCTTTCACATAAATATTTTTCTGCCGCGATCCCGTCGCGGCTTGGGTCTGCAAAAAATTCTGAAGGGGAGTGGGGTGGAGTAGGGTGGGGAGGAGGCTCAGCCAAAGACCCCGGCACAAGCCACGAAAAGTTGCCGTTGGGCCCAAGAAATATGACTACACGTACAAACCATTAAAACGCCATTTTCGCAACGACTGCGGCGACGCAGGTTCTGTGATTGCAGCTCCGCGGTGTGGAGAGTGGAGGGTGGAGCCGGGAGTGGCATAAAGTCCGGTCTGGGCCGGGGTGTCCAGGCTGTCCAGGCTGTCCATCCTGTCCAACTGTCCACGTCGTCGCGACGTCACTCTTGTCTGGCCGAGCGTCTGGCTCTTCTTCCTCTGTGGTTTACGATCGTATTAAAATCACCTTAAACAACACGCAATGCCAAAATGGCCAGCCGGCCTCAATGAGAACACGCACACATATAAGCCATCGCCGTCGTGGCCAGACGCATGACCCACGGACGCATTGCATCGCATCCCATCCCATCCCATTCGATCCCATCCCCATTCCTGCCACACAATGTTGCAATGAGTTCCGCCAACGGCCGCCGGCGTTGATTAAACCACGTCGACATAACAAATTATAGTTGGCTCGCCTTGTGACGGCATTATCAGCCATAACCAGCGGCGGTGCAGCTCCCGCTCTGGCGGAGGCCACTGCCACATCCATCACAATCAACAAGTGCGGGGCCAGAGGATGTCGTTCGTATCTGCCCCAAGCAAAATGGGCAGTTGAAATTAATAAACTTTAACTGTTACGAATTGCTAGACGGCAGACTTTCACGCACCGTCACCCAGGGATGCTGGGCCCAAGACCACAGCCGCCGCCTCCCTTTTAGCCACGGCTCTGCCTCCTTCACCGCAGCAATTGCTCGATCGACAATGCCCGGAGGCTCTGGCAACAATGTTGCCAAGTCGCAGATCATGTTGACGATAAACACATATATTCCTCGGACCAGACCAGGCAGGGCTGGAATGGGATATTGGACCAGCCTGAAGATGCTACCCGTCTTGCGCATGCGCCGCGATCGCGGCGATGGCTTCGCACAGTCCGAGTGGTAGGGGCAAGGGTCTAAGCGATTTATTTTCCACAGAGCAAAATGGGGTATGTGTTTTAAAAGGAAAGGGGAGATTTACAAAGATGGAATATAGAATCAAACATATTTTTCATATAAAATATTGATTACATGGTTTTGCATTCAAGTCTCTATACTGTATGAGTAATAAATTATAAATTTCTTAAAATTTTCCTTGAAAATATTATTTATTTCCTCTTCTATATTTTTCTGTGTAGTTTTAAAATGTTCTGTCTGCTGTGTTGTTTGTGGTGTTAATAGTGTTTCAACGCAGAAAATTGCAATTGTGGAAAACAAGGGGCAACGGTAGCAGAGTTATGTCATAAGAAAATAGATACTTATTTTCCATATTCCCAAATTTCCCAATTCAAAAGAGCCTCTTTTGGAGCTCAAGATTTGAGTAATACCTGTCCCTAAATATTCGAAAGTTTACTCGCAACTTGCGTGGCACGTAATCACAGCAGCACCTGCCGGGGTTCTCATGATGGGGCTGGTCCTGGAAGTCGTGGAGGGTGCAGGGCCATTAAACCGAAATTGCCAGACATAAAAACAAAGCTGAAACTTAACCACAGGCAGCCGTAGTCATTAATGCGCTCGCATCGTAAACTTTATATTGCAGCGGGCCGCGTGAGCTGTGCGGACATCAAGTGTGGACCGAAGGACAACTGCCTGGTGGATCTGCAGACGGGCCTGCCGCGATGCGTGTCCTGTCGCCACAAGTGCTCGCGGAAGCAGCAGCGACCGGTGAGTATAATACTTTTACGTTAAGTAATCACTGATCAATGGCTATATATTGCAGGTGCACAAAATATGTGGCTTTAATAACCGCACATACAACTCCTGGTGCGAGATGCAGAGGCACTCCTGTGACTCCCGCTACTTCATCGGCGTCAAGTCCGCGGGTAGCTGCTAGAGGAAGTCCACATCACGTAGCGTGTTCTTCCATAGTTCCAACATCCAAAGATTCTCGTTGTGCGTTTTCGTGTTGTAATCGGTGGAGGGGTCTAGTTCTTAGACCTGGCGTACACTTGCTCCAAAGACCTTATAATAATAAAATGAGTAAAGCCATTCGCTTAACTTTGTGCTATTATTATTATTATAAGGTCTTTGCTTGTACCACATATTATCGCATTCACTTTACACACAGGGCAAAGTATTATCACACACACACACCCGCAACATTACGTATTGCTGCAACTCTTAGCCAGCAAGAGAAACCACATATCGTAAGAGGCTTTTGTATTTAACGTTAACGTAGGCTACTCGGTAATTAATTTAAACAATTATTATATTTATTATGTCCTCGTTTGTATGCGCCTAACACACAGACACATACTCGGCGTCATATTTATTTAACATAAACATTAACTTCTCTCCACTCGGATTGTTCATAAGCAAAGCTAAATTAATTCACTGACTGATAGCTTAACCTTATAGCAAGATTTTGAATTAATATAAATACCCAAATAGTAACGATGTATATATAAATACATGTCTATATATACAATTATGAATATTATGAATATGTTTTGAGTAATTGTTAATTAAATGTGTTTCCAACATAATCAAAAAAATGTCAAATAAATGCCTTCTTAATCGCTCTCATCGGACTGATCGAAAATGTCCTTGGCCCGTTGATACCGTGCCTGGGTGATCTTCAAATTGGCTAATTTCCTTTTGTCCACCGGCCTTGAGGCGGTGGGAACTGGATCAGTATTTCCCAGACCGCTGGTCCCCTCATTGGCCACCACATTGATCTATAAAGTAAGGAACATTTTATATTGAAGTGGGATTTAGCTAACTCCAAGACCTACCGGTGCCAGGAGTCCAGTGCTGGCATTGGTCTTGCCTAATGTATCGCCCTTTTGCCAGCCCAGTTTGCTAAGCATTTTGAAACCCTTGTTGGAGCTGTCAATCTCTCTGTAATACATATTATGTTTAAGAGTTATAGGTGGGCAAAATAACTATACTTGAAGATGAAACTTACGTGTTGACGCAGGCCACCTCAGTCTTTTCCTTATCTGTGCTGCTGCCCACATTGACGCGACGCGTGGCAGCCCGATCTTTGTAATTGGGTGCCGACTGTCCATTTCCACTTGAATCTACAAATTCTGAGAGCAAGAAATGTAAAGGTAAAAGGTAAAACCAAAGAAATCTATACTCACTTTCATTTTCCAGTCCATATTTCCTCTGCAGCTTCTTCAGTTGCTCCTTGTGCGATAAAACTGTACCCGTAGACGCCGTGTTTGTGGCCGCCACTGGGGCTGGTGTTTCTATCAAAAGACCCGGTTCACATAGCCCACAGGTGCTGTTGCCCTCGTGTACGTGACACAGGAGTTTCGTCTGTCCCAAGGTTATCACACTGCCATGAACTAGATCCATTGGATCGCCGGCCATGGGGGAACCATTGAGAATAGTTCCATTACGGGAGCCCAGATCGAGGCATTTGTATATGCCCGATTTGGCCTCGTAGTGAAACTTCAAGTGGGTCTTGCTTACGTTCACGTCGGGAATAATGACATCGTGAGCTCCTTCGCGCCCCAAGGTGCCGCCTTTGAAGGTGATTAAATGTAGGCTCCCCACCTTCAGGGTTTCCATATTTGTCTCCTGTACGATAATGCGCAACGAGGGCGGGTACCTCTTGGCTATGTCTGAAGTAAAGAAGAGGAAGTGTTAGATTATTAACGATAAGTTTGGGAATAAGCGACAAAAATGCGGATTTCTTAAAAACCTTGAAAGCGTCCCGCGGCCTTGAAAATCGGAACACTGCTGTCCTCCGTATCGCTATTACTGCCGGCGCTGTCCTCGTTATTGCTGGAGCTGGAACTAGAACTGCTCTGCGACAATTCGCCCTCTTCGGCATCCTCATCCGATCCATCCGTATCCCTATCGCCGGAGTCCCTATGACGTCTCTTCGACTTATGGCGGCGCTCCTTCTTGCGCTTCTTTTTGCCGTGCTTCTTGTCCTTCTTTTTCCTCTTCGCCTTGCGCTTGATCTTCTCGACCTGTTCTTTAGCCTTCTTTTTTTCAGCTTTGATCTGTTTCAGAGTGTCGCGATCAGTGATGACGCCCCCCAGCTCATCGAACTCCACCGGTTCGTCCTCGGATTCCGACTTGGCCGGTTCGTTCGCCTGCAACCGAATAAAGAAAAGAAATCCACGTTTTTATCGCACGTTCTGGGCCTTTACGCTTACCTAATGCATTTCTACGCATTCGGTCTATGCTGAGTTTGTGAAAATCAGCCAAAAGTCTACTATAGGCGCAGTCGCTCACGGGCTGCCCGCCGAGGAGGAGAAGAACGTTGGTTAATTAGGTTGTTAGCCAGGATCAGCGGTCCATCTGCGGATCACAGCCACTCACCTGGACTTGGGCCTGCGAGTGGAACTCGTACGAGTCCTTGGCATGATCGTAGTTGTAATAGCAGCCGGTGCTGCCGTCGTAGTACAACCCGTACTCCTGTGAGGAAGAAAAGAGCAGCAGTCGGTGGAGATTAACAACAGTTCGAGGCATTGATGCAGGTTCGCTGCATGCGATAACCCCTGAATGTCACACAGCGGCGGTGTAGTCGCTGCTGCATCGCGGAATAGAACGGGAACGTCATAAAGATTACGTCCTACGCTTTATAGCTTATTTACCGCATTATAGTAGTAGCCCGTCTTGGGATCGTAGTACATGCCCGATGTGGGCTCGTACACGAAATTGTTCAGGTTCTCGGCATGCTTGGCCGCCTGCCGCATCTCGTCCACAAAGCTGAAGGCGTCCGTTGCCGATACTGGAAATTAAAATGGGATTTGGCGTTAGTAAATTTAAATTAATTTATATAAGCTGATAAATATATGTTAACATCAATTGTCCCGGAAAAACAATTAATAATAACCCTTTAATCATATACCGACAAAACATATACAAGTTATTGCTTTACAATGGCGTTATTCTCTCCATACAAAAATAATAATAAACTAATGAAGCTATCGACTTATAAAACTTTGTAATTAAGATTACATTTGGATAAGTATTTCCGGTCAAAACGAAAGTCTTTAAACCATACATCACGTCCGCTTTCTTGCGCAATCATCAAGTGGTTCTAGGTTCTATTGGGTGTCAAGGGCTGGTCGTGTGGTCTCTCGGATCATTGGTGGCGCTAGCCCGTGCGACATTTTGCTGCTAATCTCTCCTGGATTAGCGAGCTGGAATGTTTGACGCACGCTTTATTACCCCGACCTGAGACCCCATTGATACTCCTCCTCTATATATAGATCTAGAGCTGTGGGTGGGCCCACGACACGTGAAAGTTTCGCTCCTTGGAACGGCGTTATCGCCACGATAGCGGCCAGGAGGCGCGGTGCAACTCACATAGACAAAATGATAGTTTATGACTTTTATTGTCTTCGATATGGTTTCCAGCAAGTCGAAAAGTGAAAAATGGATTTGTTATTTCCGTAAACGCAGTTTGCATACTCTTCGAAAAGTCTTTGGTTCGATAAAGGACCAAAACTTAATTAGGGATATTAAAACGAAAAGTCGAAATTTAGATGGCCTTGCAGTTGGTCATCAGATTATAGTATCGAATCGTAAATCGATCATAACTAAGCTGAAAATATTCGCGTTCTTTGAATATCAATACATTTATATAACAAATTTTTTGTTTTAAGTCCCAGTTTTAAATACTCATAACCAAGTCAAAAATTCATTAAATTCAATTCGGATAGCTGTCCTGTGTTAGTTTTTACAAGGGTAATAAATCTGCATACTCAATTTAACATTTTGAAACATTAAGTTTTTGCCAATTTTAAATTTAATTTATAAATTTTAATTACAAAAATTTGAAATTTTCGAAAATATTGAAAAAAAAAAATAGATTTTGGTAGGATATAGCTACGATTCGGCTGTTGATGCTGATCAAGAATATATATGATTTATAAGGTCGGAAATGACTCCTTCACAGCGTTATAAGCTTCTGACTAAAATTATAATACCCTGCAATGCTCGATAGTTTTAGCATTAGCTTAGCTTATCCTAGCTAAGAAAAGATAGACCCAGCATCCAGCTCTGCATTGATTTCAATTAATTACCAGGGTGCCAAATCAGGAGCTATTGCCAGCAATTGACAAGAGCATCTTGGGGACTCGAGCGATTAGCATATCGCGCAGTTTGTAGTTTCGGATTTACAATCAGCAAATCACAGTGTTTTCGTTTTTAATTTGATACGCAGCGCCCGGAATGCAGCGGCAGCAGTTGTTTCCACTGCATCCAACGGGCAGCTCTTATCAGGCACCAGCACCATCACCACCTAGTAGTGCAATTGCAAGTCGCCGTGGACTGGGGGCCAGGCGCCTGGTTAGTCGTTACTCACCGTTCGAGGCAAGCGGTATTACAACCAAGACAGCCAGAGATTAGCCAAGCAATATGCTGGACGCGGAGGTGCGAGAACTTATGCAAGCCTTTGTGCTGAGCGATTACCAGGTGCAGGAGGTGTACAGTCGCTTCTGCCTGGAGGTGGCGCGGGGCCTGAAGCGCTCTACGCACCCACAGGCGAACGTCAAGTGCTTCCCCACGTACGTGCAGGACCTGCCCACAGGCGACGAGATGGGCAAGTTCCTGGCCCTGGATCTCGGCGGCACCAACTTCCGGGTTCTGCTCGTCTCTCTCAAAGGTCACCACGACGCCACGGTAGTGTCCCAGATCTATGCCGTGCCCAAGGACCTTATGTTGGGCTCGGGCGTAGACCTCTTCGATCACATTGCCGATTGCCTGGCCAGATTCGTTGAAAAGCATGACATGAAGACAGCTTATCTACCGCTTGGCTTCACCTTCTCCTTTCCCTGTGTTCAGCTAGGCCTCAAGGAGGGCATCCTTGTGCGCTGGACCAAGGGCTTTGACTGCTCCGGGGTCGAGGGCGAGGATGTCGGTCGAATGTTGCACGAGGCCATCCAGCGGCGCGGAGATGCTGACATCGCTGTGGTAGCTATTCTCAATGACACCACCGGCACCCTCATGTCCTGCGCCCATCGAAATCCCGACTGTCGCGTGGGCGTTATCGTCGGCACCGGCTGCAATGCCTGCTACGTGGAGGATGTGGAGAATGTAGACCTCCTGCACGCAGATTTTAAGCGAACGAAGCGACAGGTGATCGTAAATGCCGAGTGGGGAGCCTTTGGCGATGGCGGGCAGCTCGACTTTGTGCGCACCGAGTATGACCGCGAGGTGGACGAAAAGTCGATCAACCGGTCGGAACAGCTCTTTGAAAAGATGACAGCCGGTATGTACCTGGGCAACCTGGTGCGCCTGGTCCTGCTGCGCGCTCTCCAGCGTAAGCTTATCTTCAAGCTTAGCAACCGGCGGCCGGAATTCGCCACTGTCCTACAGAAGAACCAGGATGTATTCGAGACGCGTTACATATCCGAAATAGAGGCCGACACATTCCCCGAGTTTGCTAGCACTCGAAAGATAGTGAAGCAGCTATTCGGACTGGAGAAGGCCTCCGTAGAGGATTGCCACACATTGAAATACATCTGCGAGTGCGTGGCCAAGCGAGCTGCCACTCTGGTAGCCATCGGGGTGAGTGGTCTCGTCAACAGGACCTCCAACCGCCGCGTAGTGGTCGGCATGGACGGATCCGTATACCGATACCACCCGAAATTCGATTCCTACATGCGTCAAACCCTGCACAAGCTGGTGAAAGCGGACAAGGAGTGGGACATAATGCTATCCGAGGACGGATCGGGACGTGGAGCAGCGCTGGTGGCCGCGGTGGCCAGTAAATCGAAGTAGGAACTAGCAACTAGCGTTGGAATAAAGAAACTATTGACTCACATTCTCCGGTCTTTTCCTTTGGTTCTTTCATCTCACGGGTCTCCTCATCTCTTTCCGTGGAATTTATGATTTCCTGGAAATCCGTTTCAGAAGTCTGCATAGCTTTGTCGCAGAAACTCTTCTCATCTTGGATCAGCTTTATTGGAGAAAGAAAACACGGAATTAGAAAACGAGTATAGGATGATCCAATTGTGGCGCTCACAAAGAATCTCAGCTTTTGTTTATAGACCGCAAGTTTTTTATCGCACTTTCGGATTACTCCGTGTAATTTTTCCACGTACTGGAGCAGTTGCCTCCGCTCGCAGCCCTCCAAGTCCTCCGTGCTCTTCAGTTCTATGAAGTCGTGCTCCGCAGCACTTTCTGCAGATTCCTCCTCGGTAGCCGGCGCAGACATGGTATTAATATTTAAATGCACGAATTTTTCTAAATTAGCCGGAGTTTTCAGGCACTATTTATAGCGGTGACTTTCAACACTGAAGGTTGCTATCGAAAACCATAGTGATCATAGCCGATTTTAATTAAGTCTACGCGAGATTTATCGAAAACAGCGGTACCACCTCTAACCCTACTAACAGCTGGTTTTGATTTGTTATTTAACCAGCTCCGTTTCTCTCGCCAAAAAATTGGAAAATAACAATGAATAGTTGTATTAAACTGGTTTCGATGGCACTTAGGTGCCAGCAGAGGACCATCACCACATCCTCGGCCATGTCGGGCAAGCGGAACTTCCGGAAATTCAACGTTTACAACAAGCGAGGAACGCGCGTGGTGAAGGAGGCGCAGAAAACATTGGCCCAGCCGCCGGTGGCCATCCACAAGCGAGGAGTGCGAGAAACAGGAATCGTGGTGGATGGAGAATACGTGGAGATCCCCGAGAAAATTCCGGAACTCATTGTGCCCGATCTCACTGGCTGCAAGCTGAAACCGTACGTCTCCTATAAGGCTCCGGAGGTTGTGCAGTCCGAGTTCACCAGCCTGGATCTGTTCAACGCAGTCTACTCGCAGAAGATCATTGAGGACTTCAAGGCGGGCACCCTTCAGGCGGACGGCAGCGCAAAGAAGCCGTCTGCCAACGAGCAACTGAGTTCAGCTGAGGCATTGCAGCGTGCACGAAAGACGGGCAGCGATATATTCTAAGCGTTGTAGGTTTATTGTTTCTAAAATACAGAGTCTAAACTCGACTACTCTTGCATGTACTTCTGGCGGTAGTTGTAGAGCTTGCGCAACCACTTTTCAGCCTTGAGATCCGGGTCGCCAAGGAACTGCGGAAAGAATCAAAGGATTAGCACGAAGAATGGGAAAACAAATCAAACAAACTCACGTTCGGATGGAATATTACATCTTCGTTCTGGACAGAGAGTGTCGGCTTGTTGGGCACTGTGACCGTCTCGCTGTTCAGGTCGATGATTACCTTCTCCGAGGCCTCACGATCCCGTGAGCTGAAGAAGGAAGTCGGCTTAAAGCAATCCTCGTCTATGGTCTCCAGAGCCTTTTGCACCTTGGCATCTAGCAGATCGATTGCCTTAGCTGGCTGGCTGACAGGTGTGGGCGCCGATCTCGAGTTGCTCTCGGAACTGGGAGCCCTTGTTTTCTTCTGGGATGCGGAACGAGATTTGTTATGGTCACGACTCCTGCTCTTGCTGTGCCGGCTGCGGGAACTGCTCCGGCTGCTAGGCGTCGAACTACGCGAGGAACTGCGGCTGCTACTGCGACTCCTCCTCGAGTACTTTTTCGATTTCTTTGACTTTTTCTTCTTCGATTTGGAGCTTTGCCGGCTGCTCCTGGCGGGCGACTTGGAGCGGTGGCGTCTGTCGCGGTCCCGATCTCTGTCTCTGTCCCTATCTCGCTCCCTGTCTCTGTCCCTCTCCCTGTCCCTATCTCTGTCGCGGCGTTCGCGGTCACGCATTATTTATTTAATTACAAAACTAAACAAAAATTTATAAAATTGTAAATTGCGAATTTCAGGGATGAGCGATTTGGAGACTTGTGCCTATATTGCCAATCGATTTTTTAATGTATCGATAATCCTTTGAATACAAGGCCGCTGCTTTTCAAAAAAATTATTATCTATCTGTTTTAACAAGTTACGAACAGAGATTTAAAAATAGTTGTAAAGAGGAAAGCAACTATAGCAATGTGTAGACTTTAATAATATAAAAAAAAAACTTTAAATTTAACTATTCGTATTCAGTGTTATAGTAAAAAACAATATTAAGAAATGTGAGGTCATTGATTAACTATTGGGATCCCCAGCCATTGTAGGTTTAACAAATTGCCAAAACTGGTAAAATAGAACACATATAGTAAAACGAGGAAATACTGATTACTCCCGAATTCAAGGCAATTATACGTAATCTGAAGCTATCAAGATTCAGGGAATGATAGGCCTTATCGCCACCGCTTACTGCCAGCCAGTTAAATCACCTGGATTCGAAATTCCCACACGATCTATCAGTCTTGGCGAATGAAACGTCGTTTGAGGTCAAAAATAAACAGCCATAAATTTGGTAGCCAAATCTAAGGCTCCTTATCAAGTTCCTGGGGGGCATATAAAAGGCAAGGGCGGCCAAGTCAATGGTCAAAGCACCTGCACACGCGAATTGAAAATGTTGTTGATTCAATTAATTGCTGGATTTCTGAGTCTAGGACTGGCAATTGCCCTGCCAGCCGATGCAGGACGCGCCAGTTCGGTGACAACGGTAAATTTAAGGTAATGAAGGATCCTGAATATCCTTACTGACTTTGATATTTCTTTTATTCTCAGGTAAGCATTGTCAAGGGCCATGGCTACGAGATTGAAGAGCACCCGGTGCAGACCTCGGACGGTTATATCCTGACCATGCACCGCATCCCTTATTCGAAGAATACCGGTCCCGATGGCCGCCGTCCTGTGGCCTTCCTGATGCACGGTCTGCTGTGTTCCTCCTCAGACTGGGTGCTCGCTGGACCTCATAGTGGACTGGCCTACTTGCTCTCCGAGCAGGGATTTGATGTGTGGATGGGCAACGCCAGAGGAAACACTTACTCCAAGAAGCACGCCACCAAGTCGCCGCTGCTGCAGCCCTTCTGGAACTTCGAATGGCACGACATTGGCATCTACGACCTGCCTGCCATGATAGACTATGTCCTCTACAAGACAGGTGTTGACAATGTGACATACGTTGGCCACTCCCAGGGAACAACCAGCTTCTTTGTGATGAACACCATGATTCCGCGCTTCAAGAGCCGCATTAGTTCGGCTCACCTGCTGGCCCCCGTGGCCTGGATGGAGCACATGGAGAGTCCATTGGCGACGGTGGGCGGACCACTGCTTGGACAGCCCAATGCCTTCGTGGAGGTATTCGGCAGCGCTGAGTTCCTGCCCAACACGCAACTGATGAACATGTTCGGAGCTCTGCTTTGTAAGGATCAAGCCATTTCACAGGCGATCTGCACCAACACCTTGTTCCTTCTGGGAGGCTGGGGCTCGCCGTACATTAACGAAACCCTTCTCCCGGAAATCATGGCGACGACTCCGGCCGGATGTTCGGTGAACCAGATTTTCCACTACCTTCAGGAGTACAATTCCGGTTACTTCCGCCAGTTCGACTATGGATCCTCGCGCAACAAGAAGGAGTACGGCGTCAAGACCCCGCCGGAGTACGACGTAGAGAGCATCGATGTACCCACCTACCTCTATTACAGCGACAATGACTACTTTGCCAGCCTCATTGACGTGGATAGGCTACGCTACTTCATGAACCCGAAAGCCCTGAGGAGTGCCTATCGTCTACCGGAGGAGAAGTGGAATCACATCGACTTCCTGTGGGGATTGAACGTAAAGGAAATACTTTACGACCGTGTCATCGATGACATACTTGATGCATAGGCATGTGTTGCAAAATAAAGCAAACCAAAGTTGTGATACAAAAAACAAGAAAAATGTTCACTTGTCACTGCCTAATCGAGGCGTTTAGTGGCTAATGAGCCGATAATTTACAAGTGGTCATAAATTAAAATTTAATGAATGATACTTCACCGTGACTAAACAACGCAATTTGGTTTTAACCCATGAGAGCCAGGAAATGTTGAGTTATATAATATAAATAAATTTTTTTGTGTTTTTATTAACAACACTTTCTTTTGGTTTAATCATTAAGACACCTGCCCCAATTGCATTGTTCAATATTTAAATAGCGCGGCATACGACAAAGCTGAAACGTTGTTATCGATAAATGCAACTCTACACAAACATCGATATGTTAGATTTAATGAACCTATCTCTGTTAAATCATTTTGAGAAATAAACGTTGTTTAATTTATTTCCTATTCACTACAAAGTTACCGATCTTTTTTCATGCAAATTGTAAAATTTATAATGCCAAATTTTCAGTTGATGTGTCGATAGTTAATCACCCTTTCACTCTTATTACAAATATTTATTTTCACGAACTTGGTATTTTTTATTTTATTCGGTCACACTGATTTACAGGTACATCCACGCCAAAAATATTTCAAGCCAACAGAAAAAAAAATCGAATCGGAGAAAGAATTTTCTGTTAAGCGTTAAATTAATTGAAAAACCCCAATTTCTGGGTCCCGCGGACGCATTAAAGTGTAGCCTCAATATGACGCGCGTTACGAGAAGTGAGATCTCCCTGGATATGGAGATCTGGGTGGAGGAGCTGTCGCCGGCACAGTTGGCGTACTATGAGAAAATTACGAACGAACATAATGCGGTAAAGGGCGCGCTAAAGAACGCCGTAAGCGCCAACGAGGGCAAGGAGCTGTTCAATGGCCAGGTTTTCCAGGCCTACTCTTTTAAGGGAAAGGTGCTGCAGGACCTCAAGGAGGCCACACTACCGAAGAAGCCGCCCAAGGCGGCCGACCCCCCTCCGGCGCCTAGCACCCCGGCCTCTGGTACGGGGCGGGGCCGTGGACGTCCACCGCGAGCCAATCCCGCCAATAACAACAACAGTTCCAACATTGCCTATTTGGAGTCCTCCGACGAGGGCGACGACGATGTGCCGCTGGCCAAGCGTCTGGCACTGTCGGCGGGAAAAAAGGCAGTGGCTGCGGGAAATTTGTCTACCTCCAGTCCAAAACTGGGCAAGAGAGCCTCTGCTTCGTCCCCCTCCGGCAAGGCATCACCACAGCTTAAAGAGGGCAAGAAGAGTTCTTTTTCGAGCGGTAAATCCTCCAAGGAGTCCAAGTTGGAGGGCGGCGAGTCGCCGCCAAAGAACTACCGCCCAGCTGAGGTTAACTCGGTGGGTGGCCTCGTGGTGGGCAGCTCCGACGAAAACAAAGACAGCAAGGACGGCAAGGAAACGAAGGACAACAAGATGCAGGGCAAAACCTATCCATCGCTCGTTGTGCTCGCTAAGCCGTTCCTCAAGATCAAGGACATGGCTGCCACGCGCAGTAAGCTTGACTCAAAGGTGAAGCTGGTGCTCATGCTAACACCGAACAAGTTCTGTGAATGGCTACTCCAGGAGGGATTGCTCCGGGCGCAGCAGCACTGCATTAATCACCGCAACAACGAGCTCAAGTTGGGTAAGTACCATGGGCTCCTCCTGTAACCCTTCGAAGCTGTGATAAATGTGTAATTTGTTTTTCCAGGCATCTACTCGGATGTGACTAAGTTCCCCTATACCGGCGGCTACGTTTGGATCAGCGAATGCTGTCCCTACCGCTTTGTCTCCGTGTTCAATAACTCCATCTTTGAGGGAGCCCAGCACCCGCCCACATTCCTGCTGAAGCTGATCTACCATTGGGCCTGCCAGACCAGCATCCAGAATGTGGTGCAGTGGGTCAAGGTGGACAGCGTGTACATTAAGGGCATCTACACATGGCTGCGCGCCATTTGCACTCTGGCCGTGCATCAGAAGTGCAAGAAGCTGGGTGGTCCCGGCAAGTTCGTAGAGGTAAATATAAATTGAGATCCATTAAGAGTTCCATATCTTATTATATTCCCTATAACCCAACTCAAGGTCGGCGTAATCTCCCTGGGGACGACCTCACAAGATGGATCCCAGCGTCAGGTCAAGGTTGAGGTTCTGGGTGTTTACGATTACGCGGAGAAATCCATTCGATTGCGGGCCGTGGAGCCCATCACAGACGGTGATCGCAACTACAAGAAGCGCTTCCAGGCAATTTTGGAGCCCCTATCACGCTGGGTGCACAAGGATAGTACCATCTGCATTGATTTAACTGTGGACAAGATCACCCTGTTTAGCATGGGTTTCAAGAATATCGTCCAGGCAGCGGCCACCGACAACACGGCCAAGCACAACAACTCGGCGGTGATGGAATACCTGCGACGTATTGTCCCACGCATGTTCCAGAACACCTTGTCTCTGCTTTCGCGTCAGATGATCCAGCAGTTCCTGGATGAGCTAGTCTGGCGCGAGGCGTTTGGCACGTATGCCCTGCAGGCCTTTAATAACATCATCATTCACATAGCCGAGCAGACGAGGGTTACCACCAATGAGACAATCACGCAGCGTCTGTATCAGGTGAGCAGAAATAATGAAAGCATAATGACATGATAATGGTTAACTTATCCTCCATTTAGGTGGCCACTAATCCGTTTAAAGACTGGAGCGTGCTGCCGGCAAACTACAAGGAAACGCCAGCCAATGCGGCACCCAAACGCCTCAAGAAACGTTAGTAGTTTCGTTAATCTTCCCAGTTGCACATATATATGTATATATATAGATTAGAAGAATTCCTTAGAAATAATCGGTTTAGCTAATGCCTGCCTGCGTTTCTCACTCCAAAAGAGAATTGTTATTGTTTCGTTTTGAGCTCAGGTCGATGGTGACTATGTGAGGTGGTTTGAGGTAATGCTCACAAGCTCTCCATTACATTTTAAGTTATCTTTTCTGGCTTCTTTTTGGTGTTAACTTATTTTAAACCAACTTAAAACAAAACCAATAAACTTACGAATAAATTTAACAACTACTTTTTTAGTTTGATTTATTTTTCCCTTTTTAATTTGGAGTGATGAAACGCATAAAGGCATAAGTAATAAGGATTTCCTCTGTTTGGAAACGAAACAAAGTCTTAATCTTAAAGTTCAGCCCAAAATCAGTTCTCAACCGCCTAATTTGTTTGCAGCCATCAACGATGCCGACTACAACGTCTCCAGCAAGGTGCCGAAGAAGGAGAAGGATCGCGAGAAGGATATTATACCAAGTGGCGTAAAGAGAGGCCGTCCGCCGGGTTCGGTCAATTTAACGCCCAGTGGTCAGCCGGTCAAAAAGGGACCAGGAAGGCCACCGGGCAGTACCAATCAGCCAAAGGCTGACAAAGCCACCACCTCGAAGCCATATGGTCCAGCATCTTCGAAGGCTTTGGCTGCGGCCAAAATGCCAGTTAAAAAGTTTAAGGAAAAAGATGAAAAGGTACCAGTGGTCATCAAAAAGGAGGAGGATGAGCTCAAGGGCCTGGAGGAGCTGTATTATGGCATTAGCGATGGCACGGACGAGTACTACGAGATGTTCCCGTACAACACGCCCCGCACCGCCCACTACAATCTGCCCAAGACGGTGGAGTGTCCGATTTGCCTGAACGGCGACTCCTTTGATTCCAACGAGAAACTCCAGACCCACCTGGTCTCGCACATTTCGCCCGAGGGCAAGCAGCACCAGTTCCAGTGTCTGTTCTGCCTAGAGAAGCATCCAACGGAGTCGGTGCTGGCCAAACACAACCAGATCATGCATCCGACCGAGACGAAGACGGAGGGCTCACCCTCCTACTACTGTCTCATCTGTCAGCAGCGCCACAATTCGCTCCATCTGCTGACGGCTCATCTACAGAAGGCGCACAGCACCCTGGAGCTGCCGTATTGGTGCCATTCCTGTGGCTATCGTTCGTCTTCCCATCGCGACCTGGTCAGGCACTACTACGATGACCACAAGAACCACAACTTCCTGCAATGCCCATACTGTCTGGATGTGAGTATTTTCTATGGATAAACCAACTAAAACAGATTCTAAAATGTGAGTTGTTTCTTTCAGATATTCTACTTCTCGAAACGCGGTGTTATCAATTCAATCCGCATCGAACACTACTTCATTCACCTGGACGAGCACGTGAACAAGCGCGATAGCACCCTGCGATGCCAGAAGTGCTCGCTCAGCTTCCTCGAGAAAGGCGACCTCAAACAGCACGTTGTGCAGCATCATGTTAGCATGACCAAGACCAATAAGCCGGTGCGTCTCCTGCTCAACAATTCGTTGCTGATTCCGCCGCCCAAGGTGCGCACCCATCACCGGGAACAGCCGCCGTTCTCCACCTACAAGCGGCCAGTTTTCTTTGCCTTCCTGGAGGGCAAGACCTGTGCCGAGTGCAATACGGATTACGCCAGCGAGGAGACACATTACACGTAAGTTTTGATAATTTATTATCCAAGTTAAGTAGGGTGCCAGTACTCGCATAAGAACGCCACGACTGAGAGCAACCATCCAAAGCCCAGAACCCACCAACCCAGACGCAAGGTGTTGACATCGATGGCCTGAAATCCAAGGACATTGTCCAGCAGTCGCACGTACCCTGCGCGCATGGCATCGTTAAAGTCTGAGATCAGCCAGTGATACAGCAGGCCCGAGTCCTGAATTTTCATGATAAACATGTTGATGGTCGCCTCTAAGTGGCAGTCACTACGCATCGGGTAGCTGATGAGCGGAGATCCCAGGCAGGCGGAAGAGAAGCGAAAGATTGGCTTAAAAGCGTACTGCTGCTGCATGGCAAAAAACTGCCACCGCTCCAAGGTGAACGGATAAGCGTAGCTGCGATTGAAGCCCAACAGGGCAGACACCTGTTCACTGGCATTTACACCCACCAAGAGCCGGGCCACTCTGTCCACCAGGCGGGGCTCCACATGGCGCAGCAATGTACTCACTTCGTACTCCTTGACCAGCACCCTTTGCTGCTGCTGGATTAACTGATCCATACTGTCTACCTGCTCACCCACCACCAGAGCTGTGAGGAAGCTGTCCAACTGAATGTTATAGCAACTGGTGATGACGAATCCCAAAACAGTCAGCTGGAACGAGACCAGAAAGTAGCGCGTGGAAGGCCCGTACGTTCTTCTAGGCGAGCTTATGAACAGGATTCGGCTGACGGACTCTAGAAAGCTAAGTCCCAAGCGCTGCTCCCAGGTGCTGCCATCCACTGGCCTCACAGAACTCAAGCAATAGAGCACAAAGCTTATGTAGATCAATCCGCCCAGCAGGAGGTACCAGCTGTTGCTGCTTAAGGGTCGCAGCAGGTACATGTGGCGCGGTATCTCATTTCGCACCGGAACAATCAAGCAATTCGGAGATATGACCAGGGGATAACTTTTGTCGCTCCAGTCCTCGGGGGCCTTGATGTACGGATGCACTGATATCTCCAGCTGTCCTTCCATTATAAGCTGCATAATCCTGCTCATATTAACACTGTTTGTGGGATTGAGCTCCTCCTTGGAATTCGTCACATATAGCGAGGCGTTGTGGTGACGCAAGTACTCCACAAATGTGCGGTAGGCGTAGCCTCGCATCTGCCTGCGTCCCGTCCCAGGATCGTGGACGAGGAAGACCCGCGGAATATCATTCTCGACGGGCGTGGAAACAACATATCCCTGAAAGTCCCTGGCAACAGGTGGAAAGAGCAGATCCGTTTGGATGTCCAGCTTAAAAAAGTGCACCTTCGGATACGGAGAGTAGGAGTATATGTTGTCCTTGTGCAGGACCAAAACGTTGAGGAACTGAAGGCCCCAAAGCCTCTTGAATATGTTGTATAAAGCCTTGTGGGAACCGCTACGTTGGGAGCGTAAAAGGACTATTAAGCGGCTCCGGCGCAACTTGCGCAGACTGGCGTCCAGGGAATGCCAGAGGATGTCCTGGCTTCCATGGCAGAAGAACAAACTTATGGCATTGTCTTTGGTCACATTAAAATGGCCTAGAGATCTCTGCTGTTCGGGCTGGAGAAATGCATCCATCGCTAGGCTCGTAACGCCCATGGTCTGATGTAGCCAAGCAATTAGACTGTTGACTTCATTCCCTTTCGTGTGGTGTCCCATGAAGATGGGTGTGTTGGTCCACTGATCCCGCTCCGGGCGACTAACCAAGCTGCTAAGAACCGACTTAAGCTGGGTTATGTTGTAACCGCCCCTTGTGGGTTCCGAAATGGAAATCAAGAATAGAATTATTAGCACCTTGCACATAGTGGTAGTTGATTCGCGTCTGGCGGGAGGAAGCCAAGGAAGGAGGTTTATATGGCAGCAAGCAGATAATTGGTTTAATGCGTTCAATTAGAGATATTATCGCGGCACTATATCCGCTTGTATAGCTTCCTGGGGGTGGAAAGTGATTTAATTGAACTTATTACTAACAATGGCCCATTTCTCTGACTATTTCCAGGGGATGGCTACATTGCGTCAAGTGCAACTACCAGACCTGTTGCGAGAGAGCTCAGTTCCGTCACGGCGTTGATTGCAATGGCAACTTTGTGGACGCCATGGAGGTGAATATGCCGCAGGAAATGCACTGTATCTGCGGCTTTGCCACCGGCAACGGCAATAAGATGGCCCAGCATCTGGCCAACTGCGGCCTCAGCACCTGTTATCCCAGCCTGGAGGCCGCCAGCGAGAATGCCGTCAAGCGTAATATGCTGGACATGTTGGGCTTGGTGCGACGCGACGGTGAGACATCTGGCGAGGGTGCCGATCTGAGCGAAACTGTCGACGATTCGGCTGATCAGAACAGCGATATATTGCCGCCGTCCGAGGATCAGCAGTTGCAGCAGCAGGAGCAACAGGTTCCGGAGCACCACGTCCAGGACCAGCAGATGCATGAGCAGCCTCCCGTTGAGCCCCAGTCGGAACTTCAGCCGGAGTACCTATCGGCGCCAGTGGATGAGCCTGTGCAGAGTCTACCAGTTCACCAGGGCCTGCCCGTGCACCAGCAGCCCGGTCCCATACAATTTGGCGAAATGGAGGCGGCACCCGTCATTCTGGATCCCCAGCAGCAACAGGTGCAGGCCACTCCGGACTATGCTCACGTTTCGGTGGTGCAACAGCATCAGCAGCAGCAACCCTACGGAATGAGCAGCTACGGTCAGAGCACCCTGGCCACCGACATTGACATGCCGCTGATCGGGGAGCTGTCCGAGCCGAATGCCCCGCCCACGCCCCAGTTTCTGGGCGAGGTGCACACGCCCATGTTCGATGCCGTGGCCGCTGCCGAGCAGCAGCACTACCACGCCCAGCACCAGCATCACCATCACCCGCAATGATACAAGCCACCTGGCAAGCTGAAGTCGCGCGACTACACCCTTCACTGGCAGAACTACTAGCTTCCGGGATGTGAGTTTGGTTCCGTATTTTAATTTTTATAAAACTTGCGTTTAGATTCGGACAATTAGATATTATCCCAGATTCGAACAATAATGAACTTCGATGGCAGTCGATGGATGGGCTCTAAAATGTAAATTTAACGAACGAAATCTCAATTGAACAGAGGTTGACTATATCCGGATAATCAAAAGTCTTTTCAGAGACATATCCCGACGTAAGCATGCCTCCGCAATGAGGTCTCTATTTAAACACGTAAAATATCTGTAATACATAATACTTCACGTAAATATTGGAAAAATATTCATTTGTAAATGACGCAAATACACATTGTAATATTAATAAAAACTACATGTCCTTAAATTAGGCGTTTTCCTGGGAGTGGAACGGGAATCGGGTAACTAATAATAAATTATTGATTGCTTTAAGTGGTTTAATCTAAGCCAGCAATCATGTTATTAAAAGTGTACATTCTTTTATATAGCTAATTATATTTAATTTTAATTTAATTGTAATTTTAAAGTTTGTTCTTATTATGCTTGTTATTGTTGTAAGCAAAAGAAGGCTTGAAAATTTACATTTTCCGTACAAACTGATGGAGTTAAAGCACCAGGCGCACAGAAGTCAGTAGATAGTGAATTAATCTTGGTGCAAAACTTCCAATGACGTCAGCGAGCTGATCAAGCTACTGACAAGAAGTATGCTACCGATTATAATTTTTAATTCGGTTAGAGTTAATGTTTACAATATTCAATATTCAATTCTTCCCAAAATTAGCTTCCATTATTGTTTATAGGAAATTTAATATAGTTTTAGAGAACACAGCATTTCAAATTAATTTTATGATTTAATGTCGGTGGTAAAACCGCCAGCGTTCGCAACAGAAAATCAAAGCGGATAGTACCCAGCCACATCCAAGGACAACCCATCCCAGACGCAAGGCGCCCACATCCAGTGACTGAAATCCCAGGACATTATCCAGGAGCTGAACATAACCGGCTCGCAGGGCATCATTGAAGTCGGAGACAATCCAATGGTTTAGCAGTCCGGCGGCCTGGATCCTCATGATAAATTTGTTGAGGGACCACTGCAGGTGGCAGTCTCTCTTCATGGGATATCCAATGATCGGGGAACCGAGGCAAGCGGATGAGAACCGAAAAATGGGCTTAAAGGCATACTGCTGTTGGAGGGAGAAGAACTCCCAGCGTTCCAGGGTGAATGGATAGGCGTAGCTGCGATTGAAGCTCAGCAGGGCGGAGACCTGTTCACTGGCATTCACACCCACCAAGAGCCGGGCCACTCTGTCCACCAAATGGGGTTCCACATGCCGCAGCAAGGTGCTTACTTCGTAGTGTTTCACCAGAACCTCTTGTTGCTGCTCGATGAGCTGCTCCATGCTATCCACCTGCTCCCCGACCACTAGGGTTGTGAAGAAGCTGCCCAACTGGATGCTGTACAGATTGGTAACCACAAATCCCAGGATAGTGAGTTGAAGCGACACCACAAAGTATCTCAGCGATGGTCTGTAGATCCGTGCTGGGGAGCAGATGTAGATCATGCGGGTGATGCTGTCCAAAAGGTTGAAGCCCATCCGTTGGTCCCAGGTGCGAAGCTCCCGGCCTGGCTGAACCCAGTAGAGAATCCCACTGATGTAAATCACAGCGCCGAGGAGAAGCAGCCAACTCCACTGATTGAGGGGTAGCAGAAGATACATGTGACGGGGAATCTCGTTTCTGACAGGAACGATCAGGCAGTTGGTAGCCACCAGCAGGGGATAGCTATGATCTCCCATATTCTCCGGCACGTCCACATACGGATGCAGCGATATCTCCAAGTGGCCATCCCTTATCTGCTGGATCATCCGTCCCATATTCACGCTACTCGTGGTGGCCAGATCTTGGTGCGGATTGGTCACATACAGCGAGGCATTGTGGCGATTCAGGTATTCCACGAAGGTGCGATACCCGAATCCCCTTACCTGTCTGCATCCCGTCTTCTGATCTTTCAATACAAACACCCGCGGAATGTCGTTCTCCACCGGCGTAGACACCACATATCCCTTGAAGTCCTGCGTGAAGGGCGGAAAAAACGGGTATTCACTGATGTCCAACTTGTAGAAGCGAACCACTGGATAGGGGGTGTAGGAGTAGGCCTGATCCTTGTGTAGAACCAGAACGTTGAGGAACTGAAAGTGCCACAATCTCTGGAATATGCCATTCAGAGCCTTGTATGATCCACTCCTTCCATTGGGCAGTACGACTATCAATCGAATCCGGCGCAAACGCCGCAGGCTCATGTCCAGATTGAACCAAATAATCTCCTGGGAGCTTTGGCAAAAGAGTAGACTGACCCCATTGTCCGCATTGATGTTGTAAAGGCCCAGCGGCTGCTGCCTGTGGGCAGGATTCGACGTGTCCACCGTGTGGCAGGTTACCTCCAAGCTATGGTGCAGCCACATCATCAGGCTATTTATATCGTCCATATTCGTGTTGTGTCCCACGAAGATGGGGGTATTCCGCCAATGCTCACGTCCAGCGATGACTGTAAGCACGGATTTAAGCAACGTCATGTTGTGGCCTCCTCGAACATGCTGCAGCTGGACACAACTGGGGCACAGAAGCAAGACCAGGAAGGCTAGAACACTGCTCATGGTGGTTAGTTCCGGTTTGATTTCGTGGAATCGGGGCATCCGTCTTATAAGCCAGCAACGTTAATTGGTTCAATCAACACTGAGCTCTTATCCAAGATCTAAATAACAGCAGAAATTGCCGCATTACCAAAGCAATGGAGGACTGCCTTTTGTCAGGATATATAGTACATCGAATTTATTTAATTTACTTAACTATTCATTTTGGAGGTGAGCATTGCATTATTGCACATCTGGTGGACATGAACTATTAAAAACATATAAACATGGTTGATAAAGACATAAAATAATTTAAGAATACGGCTAAATAAACAGAAAATATCATATACGAAATATTTGTTAATCAATTGGAGATTTGTGAAGTTATGGAATCAAGACAAAGGTCATTTCTGTAGCTGTCGTTGCTTAGACTGAAGCAGAGCCGATAGAACCAGAGCAGTGTCCAGCTCCTGCTGACTGCCAGGCTCATTGTCAAGCGAGATTTCAGCGGCACGTTCGTGGAAGCGGGCCAAGACGCGAGCACGATAGTCTTCACGGAATATCAGTTAATTATAAATAATTTAGTATAATTAAGTAAGATAACTCACCCACACTTCCTGCCAGCGGATTACCCGTAAGCCTCAGTGTCTCTAACAACGGAAGATTGGCCACATAATCAACCTCATCAAGGTCTTCGATCTGATTGGAACTCAAATCCAAGTTGACCAGCGACAGCAGCTTGCGCAGACCGCCCAGGGTCTTCAGTTTGTTCTGAGCCAGCTTCAGCGTAACAAGATTGCCCATCGTCAGATGCCAATCTACGCACTCGGCTATGAGATTTCCCGAAAGCGACAGCAACTGCAGATGAGGCAGCTCGGCCAGGTTTTGTACAGTCCGTATGCGATTCTGTTCGAGAACAAGGCGGCGCAGCTTAGGGGCTGTCCTCACGCTGCCATCGATTTGGGTCAGCAGATTGCCGGTCAAATCCAGTTCGGTTAGCTCTTGCCAGGCGTCTGCGGTGACCAAGGCGCTGGTGCCATTCGAGGTGGAGGCACTGGAACTGGCAGCAATGGTCTCTGGAAGCAGGCTGGGCACATCGCAGTGCTTGTGTAGATTATCGCAGAGCAGAACCTGACTTATATTCTGAATGGTGGTGTTGTGGACACAGATTGTCTGGAGCGTGGGCTTCAGCAGCTCAATGTCCGCGATGTTTTCCGTGGACAAAGCCGAGAATCGGAGCGTCTTGAGATTGCGAAAGGCGTTCAGGTTAAAGTTGAGTTTATTGGGAATGATATTGCTTCGTCCAATTGGCACGTCCACCGTATTGTAGTCCTGCGCATAGCTGGCGTTGTCCTTGACCGGAGTCACCACCAGGACCACAAGCTGAGTGCAAAAGTCCAGGACATGGGAGAAGTCATATTTTCCACCTCGATCCAGACTTGGTGGACAGGGAAGACTCAGACGCTCGCTAATGGCATACACCTGCAAAGGAATTATATAAAGTGGAAAAAAAACGGTTCATCTTATGGTATTTCTATATTTAAAACTATAACTAGGCTGCTATTGGAGCTTTATTTTTAGAGGATACACTTCACGCTCTTTGCATGCCAGGAATTTGTGCATCAGGTTGTATAGCAAAGCTATTCCCAGGTACTTTCGCTCCCTACATGAGAATTCGCTTTTTGCCGGACCAGAACTGTAAACTCCCAAGCGGCGATTGGTAAGATGATTCATGCCCAACGCATCGATAATGGCCGCCTCACGTGTTTGCGCATCTTGTGATGAGATTTCGGGAAAAGCACGTAACAGTAGTACGCCACGTTTTGCTTTCCAAATGGACACAATCAAGGCTAGCTTGGGGTCCTTGGCCAGAGTTATGCTATCAGTTTCACAAATCAATTTCTGGGCTGATTTGAGGTGGACATAGGGCCGGGCAGCCTTGCCCTTGCCCACGTAGAAAATGGCTCTGAGGAATGTGTGCCAAACATCTATTTGATGAAGGCGATCTGCACGCTCTCTTAATCCATTCGTAACCCTAGGATCCAGGAGCAAATAGTTGAAGTAGTGACGATCGATGGAGTCGTTCTCTCGACACCAGTTTCTGTGCTTTTGCAAGTACTTATAGAGGTACTTAATCTGCTTAAAATTGCTTTCTGAATCCACGGTTTTTTGAAGCTCGTGGGTGAATTTGGTATACGGTTTGTGGAATGTGCCAAGGGAGAAGCATATGCCTCGTCTTTTAGCGAGGTTAATAAAGAGCTGCAACGGGCTAGCTTGAATAAGACTATGTACTAATAATTTTGACATGGTTCAGTGTGGGAACTTGAAACTGTTTAACGTAAATAACAAAGGGTAATATAGTAGGAAATTTCCTTACCTCCAGGGCCGACAGGTTGTACTCCTTTTTGGAGCTGAGCAACGCATCGCCGCTCTCGTTGAACAGCTTGGCGAGATCCTGCAGAAGGTAGATGATGTCGTACTTTGTAAAGTCCAGGAACTCGGCCAGGGCGCGAGGTAGCTCCGCCCCAAAGTAGATGAGTAGCTCCCTCAAATAGATCTCCAGCTGCTCGCGGCGCTGCTCCAAGAAGGCAGGCTGTCGGTTGCCTACCAGCTGGCAATAGTATCCGGTTATTGAAGTATATACATTTGTTATCAGATATAAAGGGGCGTACCTTTTTTGGCGGTAACAGCTTCTTGCTGATGGACACCTCCTCCACCAGCTTGTCGTGGAGCTGGGCGAAGTCCCGATAGCGCCGCTCCACCAGCCACTCCACCTTGCCCACCCGGACCTTGACATCGTAATATGTCACACCGCCGCTGGAGGTTTCGTTTGTGAATTTCGGCACGGTCACCGCCGTGTCCTCGTGCTGGCGATAATAGCAAGACATCCTGTCCACGTCCCAGAATTTGTGCACATCCAGCAGATCATCGGATTTTGTTTTGATTTTTCATAAAAAGTTATGTTATTAACACCACTTAAACAAAAATACCAAAGAAAACGGGAGACAAGTTGGTATTTAAAGGTCACTCTGAAAATGAATCGATAGATAACAAAATATACCAAAGGTGTGACATTAGTATATACCTCGATATCGATAATAGTTCTTCCTCAAATGTTATCGGGCCTATTCGGCGTTTTTTGTTTATATTTGCTTGTTGGCATTTTTCTTTTCAAGAACAATTGTTTCTGCAGTTAGTTAGTGTAACTAAGCCATGCCATTGAAAAGGCTGCCTTAAAAGTAGTTAACATATCTGAGCTGAAGGGAGACAAGGCCTCAAAATGGCCTTCCTGGGCGACTGTGTGATCGTATTTGTTTCGCAGGCAAGTAATTGGATATATAAAGTAATTGTAGAATAATTATTATTATTTTCGATTGCAGATGCTGTTCTTTGCCGGCGGCTGGCTGTTCTTCAACAGGGAACTCTTCAAGCACTACGAAATTCGGCACATTTCCGTTCAGTTGATCTTCTCGTCCACCTTCGCTCTCTCAATCACAATGTTCGAGTTGATTATATTCGAAATCATCGACGTTCTGGAGTCCAGTTCGCGGTACTTCCACTGGCGACTTGGTCTAACTCTGCTGCTGTTCATGGTGACTGCCGTTATCCCCATTTATATATGCCACTCTGTGATACACAGCATTTCCTTCTGTAAGTCCACGTACAACTTGTCCTATTTCATCATATAACTATTGGATTTCTCCAAGTTTCCGATAGATGGGTCAGAATTCTGACCACATTTTGTTGGTTCGTCTTTCTGTATGGCCTCTGGCGGATTGGCGAGCCATTTCCGCTGCTAAGCGCCTCGCATGGCATCTTTACGATCGAACAGGGCGTGTCCCGGATAAGCGTGATTGGTGTCACTGTAATGGCCATACTCTCCGGCTTCGGTGCCGTCAACTATCCCTACACCAGCATGACCTACTTCATCAAGTAATTGACTTGCCATAAATCCCTTCTTATCTTTGTGTGTGACATGCATTTTGCACTCTATTTTTTCGGCCAGGCCCGTTTCGCGGAATGACATCATCTGCCTCGAGCGGCGTTTGGCCCTAACGGTGGACATGCTGACGGGAAAAAAGCGAAGGATTTCCATGGCCGTCTATAACCACAATAAACTGCATCCGACAAAACCCAGGATTTGGGAGATGCTGACGTCAGCCGTCCAGCGAAATATGAGCAATGGGGAAGGTTAGTAAATGCCTGGTTTATGATCCAAATATCTTTCTATTAATTTCCCTGATGGTTTTCAGACATCAATCAGTTGAAACAGGAAGTCTATGGCTTGGAGGAGTTGCTGCGTTCGGTATTCCTGGAACTGAGTTCTCTGAAAAACATGGAAGAGCGGCAAAGGTGGTCGCAGACATTAAAGGGCAAATACTTTAATGTTTTGGGACACTTTTTCAGCGTCTACTGCGTCTATAAGATATTTATGGTAAGTACTGCCGACAGATTGCTTTGTTTTCTCATAAATCAGTTTGCTTTCTTTGACAGTGTTGCATCAACATCATCTTCGACAGAGTGGGCCGCAAAGATCCCGTAACCCGTGGACTGGAGATTGCCATACATTGGTGTGGCTTTGACATAGACTTTGCCTTTTGGAACCAGCATATATCCTTTCTGCTGGTCGGCTGCATTGTGGTGACCTCCATTAGAGGCTTGCTGCTGACGCTTACCAAGGTGGGTAGATGTTTTAACCAGAATTTAACCCATCACTTATTATATTTTGTTTAACAGTTCTTCTATCGCATTTCATCGAGTAAATCTAGCAACATAATCGTGCTGATCTTAGGGCAGATCATGGGCATGTACTTCTGCTCTTCGGTGCTGCTGATGCGTATGAATATGCCAGCCGAGTATCGAGTGATTATCACTGAAGTTCTGGGCAACTCAATCCAATTCAATTTCTATCATCGTTGGTTCGATGTCATATTCCTGGTCAGCGCCCTGACCACCATCATCGTTCTATACCTCTCTCGCAAGCCTTTTCGCGTTGACGATTCCGATCTGCACTGATTTATAGGCCTAAGCATAAGCAGAATTGATTTAGAATCATATAGCACAATTAAAGCAAGCTTTAAGTTATGTAAATGCGTGTATATACCAGTGTGTATGTCAAAGTTACAATTGTTTGTTTAAGTAAATTAAAGCAACGAACTGTTTATCTTTAGAAAAATCATTTCTTTGAAATACTGGGTTTATTTCCGAAGCTCTCCAACATCCCCAGGTTCAGAGCTTTGCCAAAGCTGCTTAACTTTGGAAATTTAGGTCTCTGGGTTGCTGGGTTACCAGTTGCCTGTTGTGACCTCAACTTTGAGTGAGTCAAGCCCTAACATTGAGCGCATTTTCCCCTATTATTACTTTTGTATTTCATTCCCGATATTCCCTTAACTTAACATTTACTTGAGGTAAGACTGTAAGGAACGGGAATGGTTGGGTAACTTGGTGCGGGGTAAGTTTGAAGAGGCTAGTTTAGGGACGGCTGGGAAATGTGTACCACAATTAAAAATAGTATGAATATTTCATGTTGTTATTATAAACGGAGGAAGGGGAAGCCTATTATTTACTTTTTTTCTTGAAGTTTTTCGCTAGTACTACCATTTCAATATTGTGTAATTTAAGGTTTTTGTTTTCCCTAGGCTTCCTTCAATGTCATTTACTTTCACAAGCTAAAGTACAGCACTTGGAAATACCTGGCCAACACCTGAGGCCTCTTTGAGCATTATATTACCTCCGACACCCAATGCTTTTTTTTGAGAGGCGAAACAAATACAAAATGCCAACATAAAATTGCAATTACAATTAAAGATGGGCCAGGCAACTTTTTAAGAGACCCAGAAATGGCAGCGAAATATAAAAATTGGGGATGTCCTCCACGCCTCCACAGAAAGGGACATACATAACCATGTGCGCTGGCTAAAAATGCCATTAAAATGTTGCGGCTGCCGCAGATCCAACTGAGCGAAAAGCATTCCGGGTGTCTAGATGAATAAATCATGAAATAAAAATGATTGAAGGGTTCTACCCGCTCCAGATCCCAGATCCCAGATCCCATTTCCATTCCCATTCCCGCAGGGCGACTGCAGTCTGGTGGAGAATCAATCAGCTGGAAACCCGATGAATTTGTAACTAAACACGGCACTGCAGTTGCATTGCCTAATTAGACAGAAAACGTTGGTTGGGAAAACGCGCTTTTCCGCTTTTCCTCTGCGCCCGTGTGTGCGTGTCCCTGTGTTTACTTTTAACCTTATCGATTTCATCGATTAGTGATTGATAATGTGAGTGAGTGTGTGTGTGTGTGTGTGTCTGCTGGCCTGCTTTACTTGCTCGCTTTGCGTCAACTTCATGGCCATTATGCAAATTTGCCGAGCAATTGATTAGAATTTCATTTAGGTTGCACGTTACGCATACGCCGCGTATGCCCAGGCTCCCATAATTAACACTGTAGTACGGCCCAGTCACGGCGGGCTAATTAGCATAAATTCAATTAGTTTTCTTGTTTGCACCTTCGGTTGTCTCCGGAGTCTATGTACAGTGAGTGTAGGGTTCTCCACCCACCGCCATATGCCCCATATCTAGCTAACCAGATCTTATATTGACAACAGAGCTTGCTGCTGATGCTGTAAGGACACTTCACCCTTCTGCTGCTGCTGCCAGCAGCAACCCCTTATCCCTTGATGGGCATATGCATATTTAGCATATTTCCCGCCTGACATCTGACCTTTTGTCATGCATTGCGTCAGATTCGCGACGCCTCCTCCTCCTCCTCCGGACTTTGAGTTTCGGTTTCCGTTTCGGTTAAGGTGATGTGGCGTTTGTGACTGCGGTTATCTGTCTGAGTCTCGCCTCGGGACATGAGAAAGACATTAGCATAAGCAGGCGGCATTTGTTCAGATTGCCGACGAATTTGTGACAAGTTATGCAATAGGACCTCAGTTAGATTTGCAAACGAATCGCCGTGAGATGAATCTGCTTGTCGTAATAGGACTTTGAAGAATAACAGAAAAATACATTTTGTTTGTAAATCAGGTAGACAGATGATACGTTTTAATTAATCTGAAATGACAGGGATCAAAATCTATGCTATCTCTACTGAAAAATGTGATTCCTATTGCCCTAAGAATATATATATATGATATTTATCGAATTTCGTGAATAATCACAATATATTTATATATATTGATGTTGGCTTGATAAAGCAGTAAGATATGCTCCCTCTCCAGCCACCAGCAACCTGGACCTGGCTTAATGACCATCGTTTCGTATCCGTTAACCTTTAGCTTTCGCTTTAGCCTCATTTAACCTGGCCGATTGCCTGCGCCCAAGAGGGAGGAGTGAGAGAGAGTTCCCACCTAGCAACCGACCAACTAATTAAGACCCATCTCCAGGACTCATTAGTGAACGAAGGCTCCACATAATTAAAGCAACGGTTCCCCTGTCGTACGAAAATGCAACGGCAGAGCAGCGTAATCAAAGCACTTGGCAATTATTACATTGATTACCAGATGAAAGCCATAAATGCCCGTAGGACGATGTCCAGTCCACAGAGGAAATTAAAAGAGACTCGTCGTCGTGTATACAGGCAATATCCAGTTCATTAGGCTTAACGGCAAGGGGAATATCCATCGACCTTTAACTATACTGCTTTAAACAGAATACAAAATAGCTGTTCAATGTCGATTTGCAATCAAATTATTTGCTGTATCAAATATTTAAAAGATCTGCAGCGGTAGCCGGCATGAGAAATGATAGTTGGCCAATTGAAGTTGGCATTTAAACAGGGTTATTCACTTAATTTTTAAATATATATAGATTCTGGATAAAGCTTTCTCATATAAATAGATTGAAACCTACCTTAAAACATTAAACAATTTATGTAGTTCATGGGTTCCTTCAAGGACACCCTGTTTGTGAAAATGTATTAACGTTTTTTGTTTGCTATGGCCTTGATGTATGTGTCTGCCGTGTTCCCATAGCCTTTTTTATTCCCAACTGAACTCAGCTGTGCACCATCATCGTTGGTAATCGTGGTGCCAGTGGTCCTGCTGCTTCTGCTCCTGCTTTTTCTGATGATGATGTGACTGGGCGTGGGCGGTATAAATCGGACCAAGGGTGGATATCGATATAGGGACTCAATAATTTAATGCCCGGCAAATTAAACATCTGAAATGAAGGGCCAACGCTGACCGTAAACTGACGGTGTGGGAAAGATTAACGAGTGACCCGCACTCCGGCAAGTCCGGCGACAATTGCAGCTATTTGTTATGCAGGTGGGTGATTCTCTCCTTCACCTCTCTGTTCCTGCATCCTTCTGCAAACTGGGCCAGGATTATTGCTCCATTTTGCACTCCAATGCTTTTCGCAGCCATCACGACAAAGTTTAACCGGCACGTGAGTGTGCGAGAGCGGCTCTTAAAAGTGCCATAAATGTTGATAAGACATGTTTGTCACCCAGTAGGTGAGAGTGGGAGAGTGTGTGTGTGTCAGCACCTCTGGCTCCAGATGCAGCTTCCCCTGGATGAGTTTCAGCAACGATGTGTCAAGTACATAGTTCCCAGAGATGGGTTTTGTATGTCTAAGCTGAGCTATCTTTGTGAACCATGATCTATGATTTGCATGCCAATTTGTCAACTTATTAGAGGCGGCCCACACAAGTTATCCTGCGAGCCAAAGACACAGCTGGATATTAAGGGGCTTTTTAGCTGAGAAATATCTGTGCACAGGCAGAAACTGTGATGTGATTTTAAGGATTTAAAAAGAGGATATCCTTAGCTGTATATACTAAGAGGGGAACAGAATCAGAGACATTAGAAAACTCTCTTGAATCTTTGTAAAACTTCTTGAAATATACCAGGATATCTTAGGATTTCTACAATAGGAAGTAAAGGAGGGTTTGCATCTAGACAGAGGATAGTTCTTCTTGAAAAACCCAGAAGAAATCTTCCTCTTTAAAACTAAAACCACCTTAATTAATAAAGACTAAACCCCTAGTTTAAATAAAACCTACTTCCAATAAGACCACTAAGATTTGTACCTCCTTTAACTACCTATTTATTCTCTGTGTGGCAACTAATTCCTCATTCGCCACAATGGCAGGCATTTTTCCATTAGCATAGGTCACAGCTCCGGCGATTGTGATTGTGATTCTGATTGTGCCGCCAACTGGCCATTTGCAGCGAGCTGGAGAGCAGCCGAGCAGATACTAACAATGTCAATGATGGCCTCAATCACAACTGTCATAAACAGCGACCAGGGCCAGGGAGGTCCTGCGAAAGCCAGAAGGATACACAGACAGACAGCGAGGGGCGGGGGGGAAACAAGAGGCGGCAAACAGAGAAAGAGTGACACTTCCATCGGTTGAGTTTGGCGCTTCTTCTTTTGTGGGTCCCGTCCAAAGCTATTAATATGGAAATTATGCAAATTGAATTGACTTTTGCCGAGCCTCGTTGTGGCCCATTAAGCGGCATTTAAGTTGTTTTCGCGCTGCCAAGGTGTTTGTATACGAATTTCCAAAGGATTACGCGCTCTCTGCCGAGTTAGATATGAAAAGCCTTTAAAGGTACAGGCACTTACAAATGCAAAAAGTCTGCCTTGAAAATTATGAATATGTATATAAGGTACGCATATCCCTGATTTACCTGTCAACTGTAACAACTCTTATTTCAGTTAGTTGGTGTTCCCTTAACTGACTGGCGACTTGTAATAAATTCAGTGTTTTTTTTTTCTTTGGTACAAACATTCAAATAAAAATGCCTGGACAGTATGTGAATTCCCGTTACTCCCGACCAGTGATGTCGGGGATACGCTGCTTCTGCAACGCTCTGCACCTCTGGGTATTGATGCACGCATCCTCCATTGTCGTGGTAGTTCAAGAGCGCTGCGATAAAGGATTCTTTTGGGATACACGTCTGCCGGATAAGTTAACGTACTATGACGCACTGTATAAGGTGCCGGCCGGCGAATGCTTGATCTTTGGCATGATAGTGGGAGTAATGAATAGCATCTATGTTGCCAGCGGCTGCAAGCTTGTGGGATCCCAAGATCTTGCGCAGATCGGACGCAAGCCGCGTCTGGATAAAATCTGCGTCTGCACCCCATACATCGGGGCCTTCCTGGGCTGCTGGCTATTCTCCACCTATGTGTTGATGAACCAAATGTTCATGAGGCACCCACGTGGCACCAGCCCCGATATCTACACCCAACTGATCATTGCCCTGCTCTTCAAGTTCCTCATTATGGCCAACATGATCTCGCTTTGCCTTCGCACCTATGCCAGACTCTTGAAACTTACGCTGGAGTGGAATCGTGGATACATTTCGACCCTCAATTTCGGAGAGTGGTTGAATCTGTTTTTCCGCAATTGATGCTATTTTAAAGACTTTACATTTTCTGCATTTTTCAACAATATAACTTCATGTGGCTAACTTTCTTTCTTTCGAGTGTGTGTGTGGGCAATATCACGCATACGTCCCGTTGACGGAAATTTTAAACTGGACTCCCGAGGGCGTTGTTTTGGTAGCTGTTTCACTTCTCAGTTGGGTATATATGAAGAGAAGTTTAGTCCTTGTATATATTGGGGCGCCTTCAACTTATAAACTAGGCCATTTCAACAATAGGAGAGGCCTATTGGTAGTCTATATATCAAAATGATTATTTGTTATATCACAGATTAAACATCAATAATTTCCGGTTTCCCTACTGCAAGTTATATTCAGAAAATATCAAGTTTTTCCACTTTTTAAAAGAACATTTAATGAAAATTGTGAAGCAATGATAATAAATATTTAATGAGTTATGCCACAGCACCCAACAAATTAAGTAAGGAAATTAAAAGAAAGCCAATTACAATATTATTAATTTAAAATAGAAACAAGAAGGGATACTAACTTTAAGAAGCCGAAGTGCTGCTTGCAGGTAACCATGGGATCATTTGTTTGAATGTGAAATCGATCATAACTAAATCAAAGATGTAAAAATCTCAATTTGGAAAACTTTTCTTTGTTGACTAGAATACCAATACCTTAATATTTAAACAAGTAAACATTTTATGAATTTTATACAATTTTATTTGAAAAATTCAGTTAAATAAATTAAAACAACTATTTTTTTTTATATGCTCATTTTTTGGGTAAATAAATGTTTTTCAAATATCATAACTAAGCCAAAAATGCATTAATTTTAATTCGGATAATTTTTCTGTGCTAGTTTTTATAAGGTTAACAAATCTACATATTCAGTTTTAAAATTTAAATTTTTTGTAAATTTTTTCCTCACAATTTTAACAATTTAAAGACAAAAATGTTGAAAAAATTTCGAAAAATTTATTTTTCTACAGGACTTGGCTAGATCGATTCGGTTGTTCGTGCTGATCAATAATATATATGATTTATAGGGTCGGAAATGATTCCTTCATCGAGTTGAAAGCTTCTGAGTGAAATTACAATACCCTGCAAGGGTATAGATAATAATGTAGCAAAAGTTACTTTGAAACTATTGAAGTTAGTTTTCAAACAAAAATTAATTAAGGTTATTAAGTTTAAGTTTACGTTTTCAGATATCATCAACACAAATTGCTGTATCACTTTAGATTAACATTAAGTAGGAGGGTCCATGGTAATTAGGGAAGTTAATTGGCATAACTAGCTCTAGATCAAAGCCTTATTCCTCATATAGCAAATACATACATAATAAATTATCATGATTAACACTTACCGGTTTTCCTTTTTCGTCATTGCTTAATTCCTTCCAGTGTGAAGATGTATCCTTGGTGACTTCAATTAAGTATGGGATCATCGAAGACATCTTCTTGGTTGTCCAGATGTATTCCATGGGCCACGTCATCTATTTGGGGTCGAATCACTAATCACTAATCACTAATCACTAATCACTAATCACTAATTATTATCACTGCACTTTAGATGTTAACAGCGGGGAGGCCGCGGACCGACTGAGGCCAGAGCCGCATCTGTGGCTGTATTTATAGTCAGCGAGCAAAGAGAACAGAGAAAGTGAGAGCGAGAGAGATAGAGCGTAGGCGGTACGGCAAGAGCGAGAGAGTGAGAGTGAGCGGGAGGCAATGTAGCGAAGGCGGTATGGCTAGAGCGAGAGAGTGAGAGTGAGTGGGAGCGCGAGGGAATGCAGCTGCATTCGGATAGCGAAGGCGGTATGGCTAGAGAAAGAGAGAGAGAGTGAGTGGGAGCGGGAGGGAATGCAGCTGCATTCAGCTTCATAGCTGAGCTTCAAAACTGAGCGCCAAAAACTCGTGGAAAAGGACGGCCATGGCTAAATTTACTCGGCTGATCATGCTGAACAGGAATATATATACCTTATATAGTCGTAAATTTCTCTATAAAATTCTCTATAACTTTTGACTAAAATTATAATACCCTGCAAGGGTATAAATATATAGCAAGGTAAACAAGCCATTTAAAGATTGTACATATTTTATATATGTTTATTTTTTATGTACTAAAATCCTCTTGAAGCCAGACTTCACCTGTAAAAGCAATCATGGCCATGTGTGCCTGGGGCCGATAACGTGTTTGTGGCCAACACACAATCTATACGTATAGGAATACCTTAGATTGCTTCCCTTTTCCATGGCCACAGGTGTGGTGCCGCAATCATTTGTCATTTCTTTCCCAGCCATCTCCCACTGGAGCGGAGCAGGCCGGCAGGTGTGTGACAATCGAAGCCTCGAAGGGCCGAGTCCTTGGCTAATCAATAAATGGTGAGTGGGGGTCACAAGTTGGGAAGAACTCTAGCGAGGGACGATAGCATTGCTTATGATTTTCAGAGCTGTGTATTAAATATTTCTCCCAACCGTAGTCAGACAATGAGCCGCAATCCTATCGGACTTAATGAACCCGAAAGTCCATTAATGTCGACAGCATTAATAACTATAAAAAAAAGGTGAGTCCAGACTATTAAATATAATGACACCTAATTTTTAGGCTTAGCCTGGCAAAACCCACAGAGTATAAACATAATTTATAACATTTACAGCAACAAAGGACTCGCTCTCAGAGGAGGCAGCAGCAACAGCAAAAAAAAATGTGAAAAATTAAATGGCATTCAGTGGGTTTGAGTTGGGTTTTCCGATTTTCCTTTTGCAGAAAACAAAACGATAATTCAGGACAATAGAGTCGAGAATTCTTTAAAGGATAACCCTTCTCTCTAACCCTCTTTACGGTTCCTAAGTTTATATATACACCGAAGTGGACATCAATTTGTGCCTCAATCAAAACTTTTACAAAGTTCATGATGTGCCTCAAATATTGACGTTTAAAAAGGATTTCCGGTTATGTATATTTCCCCAAGGAATTTTCATTAATCATTGATGGCACTTTATTTTTAGCCCGACGAAAAATAAACACATCTATTCGAAAGCAAAATGTTTGCTGACCATTCAATGTTCATTGAAAGGAACACCAGTTTTTATTACATTTATGCAGTCAGGCAGCACAAAAATAAATAAATTCCAGCGAGAACATTGCAACAAAATATAATCAAGATTCCTGTCAAAACATCCGCAAACGGCGCTACGTGTTCTCGAATGTTTATCGATTTTTTGTTGTGTTCTGTGTGTACGCTGCCCCGCTTTAGTTTTTATTATTATTATCTGTGAATTTCCGTCTGTCGTGTGCAAATTGGATAATAGAGCGGTAAATTAAATTTCCCGACCTTCCATCCCAGTGGTGCTGGTTTGAGTGAAAGTAATTACAGACAGGTGGATGGATGATTGACCATGCAAAATGAAGGCCTCCCTGCAGGTGACCAATTCCAGCCTTTAATTAAATAAAATTACATATAATTTAAGGTGGGAAAAATCCACAATTGACACGTCTTATTTTGTTGAAGATATATCTAATAGTAAGGCAGCAGAAAGCTTTTCTTTCAAAGTAAATATATTTAACAAGAAGCGTCATAATTTAGATTTCCATAGGTAATCAGATACGGATATGCTTTTATTACCATAGCTAATGCTATATTTTTGGATTCAATATTGATTTCAATTCCCACTAATATGTATATATATGTCTCCAGATGCATCGAGTTCTTATTTACTTCCTTTTTATTGTGCTCACCTGGGGACAGTCAAAAGAGCAACATAAATGTCCAGGTAATTTATATAATACTTGAAGAAGTCAATTAATGTTTTATATTAACATATATTAAAATATACCTATACCTTAAAGCTGGACAGCGCTGGCTAGATGAAGAGAACCAATGTGCCATTTTTGGCCAAATCATAACTGGCATCCAAAAAAATGGAATATGTGAATGGGGTCTTGTGTCATGGGGGAAGGCCTGTGTAAAGCTGGGAAAGAAACCCATTTTATGTCCCAAAGGTCAAATATATATTCCAATAGTAAAACGCTGTGCAGATTGGTTAATCGAAGAAGCTACAACAGAAAAAATATGATCGACAATCACCTTAGATATATTTATAAATGTAATTTTTAGTTCTCAACACTTTTACAAATTAAAAGAAAGCGAAAAAAACAACAAAACGTAAAGTTGTTTGTTATTGAAACATAGTGTTAGGACCCACAGATTTATTAAGTTAAGTTATAACCATTTTATTTTCCTCCAAACGTGTAAAGATTCTGAATACCCAACCTTAAAAAACTGACTTATCCTCTTCATTCTTCCAAGAATTCATTGCTGAACTTTTAAACAATTTCCGAGTTTGCGAAATAAATAAATTAAGCGGAGCAGCAGAAACGTTAAGGATGCAGTGCATCTGCATAAAACCAAAGCCATTTGCACGCACTGGAATTCATGGTAACTGTGCGGCCATAACAGTAACCGTTACCAATGTCGAAAGGACTCGGAGTGGGCCAGGATTCGACTCGGCGTGGCTCTGGCAAATTTTGCGGTTGGAGTCCACACAAAAGGTGTGAAAAGCCAAAGCAGATGCAGTGCAGCTGCAGGAGCTGGATCGGGTGGACGTGTGGCATCCGGTGGATGGGTGTTCGGAAGCTGTTGCTTATTTGGCACGGATTTGCTGGGTGGTGTCACCCACGCTCGGAGAGGGGTTTTTCCGAAATTGAAAGTTGATGTGTGCGGCGCCACTGCAAATGTGCGATAAATGTGCAGCGGCATTGGGAAAGCTGAAAAGAGGAATCCACAGTTCACCATCCTTCGGTGACATGAACATTTTATGAGCCAATGAGCTGCCAAAGGCTGCCACAGAGATTGACAGGCACCGGAAGGAGATAGGACAATAAATTTAACCATCACAACTACCATTAGTCCGAGATTATGTACATTTGTTTCCTTTTCCCCTTTACGTTACTCCGTTACTGTTCACTTACACAACGCTTTGTTTTGAAAGCCTCATAAATTGCGCATACGCCATGTTGCACCGCCACCAAGCCGCATGGCTTCGCTCTTTCAACACGCATAAATTCAGCGAGTGAAATATTTGTGAGCCGTGAAGCTACCCAGGAAAAACAGGAAAAAAGAGAAAAATAAATAGCGAGCAAGAGAAATAAAATAAAAGCGAGGGGAAAAAGCGAAAAAGCAGTTAACTGAATGCTCCAGAGCACTTTAGAGCCACCGCGGGCACAGAAGCCCCAGGATTGGGACTCCCAATTGACATGCACCATGCAATGGTATGCAAATTCCAGCCTCTCTTCCTCGGTTTCGGTCTTTTTGGTGGCAAGTTCAATTTGGAAGTCACACCTACACTTGTCCAACTTTGATGATGCACTCTCCGCGGATTTGTGTGGAATTTTACCGAGAATTTTCCGCCTCGCATATCGCCCTTTGGGACTTGAGTATGCTGGCGAAAACTTAAATATTTGTTGCCTTTGACTGTTCTTGGTCCTGCCGCAGAGGATAATGCGCTGAAAGTCCCTCCACTGGTCCTCGGCTGACGTCTCAAGTGCCGAGGACTTACCTCCACTGCAAAATTTACAGAGGCCCATCTAGGTCAAGTATTGTCAGAGTCAGAGCCACATCAACGCCATCGCAGTCATCGTCATTGTCATGAAAATTTCTCGTGCTAAAACTGTCACTGAAGTTCGTGTCAGCAGTCGTCGTCGTCGTCGTCGCACAGTGGGTCCAGAACCACCAGAACCGTGCTCCGTTAACAACCTGAAGTGAGTGGTCTCTGACCCATCAAGTAAAATGCACACACAACAACTTCAGTGGAACCCGCACACACTCCCACGTTCTGTTGAGATATTCTGCTGTGATTCGAGTATTTTTGGACCACAACCACCATCACATCACCGCCGCCATCCTTTAAAATGTGCAAATGTCCTTGGCGACTGACAGCAACGGTGGCAGGAGCGCCGCAGGAAGCCAGCTCGAGCTCACTCTCTTTGGAGGTAGAAACAAAAAAATCGTTAAATGTTGGCCCTGTGCACTGCTGAGTGGTTCGCAAATGGTTAAGAACTAATACCAAACTGGCCACGAAATGATAATGAATTACTAGAAGAAAATTAAAAACAGATTGATTAAGGTAAATCACTGAATTAAATAATATAAAATGAAGAACAAAGTGAACTAGAAAATAGAAAAGCTAAGATAACGTTGCTTAAAGCCATGATACTATTATAAAAGGTAGTTCCTCAACTTCTAAATAATTGTAAAATTGTATCATGTTTAGAACCTATATATATATATATCTTGTTTAAAGGTCACAAGAATTTAAATTTCTTAAGACTTTAATAGCTCTTCTGCTAGCTAATCATAGTTTAGTTAATTAAATCTACATTTAAATTGCAATAACCCAATTTGATATACAAATAAAAAGACTTTTGCATTTTTATTGTATTTATTTTTATTACTCAATTAAAATTTAGTTGGGACATTCTTTGTTTTGGTTTGTTCTTGTTCGGCTTGTATATGGTTTTGCTTTAATGTTTTGTTGTTTTTCTCATTTTTCCACTCGCTTACCCACACATAATTGGTTTTATCCAGTTAGCTCTTTAAATGTAATAATTATATGCAATTTATTTGAATTTGACTTTGATCTCTAATATAATTTCAATTATCTTCGTTTAGCTTGTTATTCATTTTTGTAGTTAATTGATTTGAATTTTAAATATTTCTTTAGTGGTAACAGTTTTCCCAGCCGTGGCCGAAGAAAAATATTTTCCAATTCAACTCGCTCTAATGTCTTTTGTCATTTTTGCATTTTGTATAGGTATTTGTATATATATATATATATATATATATATGTGTGTGTATTTCAGTTTCCTTGCTGAGGATCAATTATTGAGTAGACAAATATGTAATACACTTGGTAGAAAAACAAAATTGTGCCACCAGATTAGTTTTCATCAAGTTCATTTATTCATTCATCAGTTTACTATATAGATAGCCCCGAGGGCTGAAAAATTGTTGAGTTGACGTTCTCGAAGCTGCTTCACGTTGCTTGGGTACCCCTAATTTGCCTTAATCTGAAACAACATTGAGTTTCTTTGGTTTTTACTTCATGTTCATACGCATGTAGGTACAATTAACATTTTTCTTCTTTTTCTTTTTGTTTAATTTATTATTACTTCTTTAATTGTTTACTTTTGGCATTGGCCAGACAAAGTGGAAAAATGATCTCCCAAAAATTGTTCAGCATTTTCCTTGCATTTTTTGTCTTTGTTTGGTTTTTTTGTTTCCTACAATAAATTTTATGGAACATCGTGCCTTTTATTTATCTTTTTGTAACATTAAGTTTGTCATTGAAAATGTAACTTTAGTTTAGTTTTAGTTACTGTCTTGGGATTAATTGGTAAAGTCCAAAAGCAAAAGTTAAGTTGAATTTGGGTTTTAATTAACGAAAATTGACGTTTAATCAATCAAGTCGATAGAATAACTCCGTATGTCGAATCATTATATTTGTTAAATGTTAAATTTATTAAAGCTTTGCAAATCATACTTAACTTTGCCCTCGACTTTCGTTAAATTACATTTAATATAATTGTTATGAGAATCATTTTGGTTTCGGTTTTGCCATTTAGGTTAAAACACATTCACTTAAAAGTTTACAACTGTGTGCCCTCATCGCGATCGGCCTTTTACACATTTACAATTTACCAAATTTTTTGCTCTTTTCTTTTTTTTTTATTTTTGTATTTATTTATTTATTACGCATTTAATTAAGCTTCATCTGTGACTGCGCTGCTCCAGCCGTGACCAACAAAATTCAACCGGTTTGAGTGTTCTCCTTATTCCGGCTGGGCTTCCCGGCGTGTCTTGTGGCCGCGGAAGGAGGCCTGGATTTTGGTGGCCGCCTTGTTAAGCTCGGGATCGGTTAAATCAATGTCCAGCTCCTCGGCCACTTTCTTGGTGATCTCCTGGATGTCCTCGTCCTCGGGCGCATCCTTGTTCACCAGTTTGCGTGCCAAGTGGCCACGGAATGTCGACTGAATCTTCAATGCGGCATGGCACAGCTCTGGAGAAGGAAAAAGGAAAGGGAAAGGGAAAAAGGCTTAAATTAGTGTTCTATGTAGTTACTCTTAAGTGGCCACTTGGCCAACGCCCCAAAAAAAGAGAGGAAAAACTATATAACTACATATAATATATATATATAGAAGGAAACTCGTCTGGTGTTTTTGGGCCAATTGAAAGTTTAGATGATACTCAAACAATTGCCAGCATTTGCTGTAAACTTTTTTTTTCAATTAGTTCTTAGTCCTTGCCTTCTGGCTAGAACATTTAACATTTGTTTTTATTTATTGCCATAGTTTTCTACCTCAATCAGTATTAAATTAAGATTTTATGCGAGGCTAGAGCATTCGTGTTTTATTTATTGCTTCTTCTTTGAATAAGCATTAAATTCCCCGAGCTGACCAGCAATAATTTAGTCACGACTCCCAGGAAGCTTGTAAATAAGGGAATATAATCGAAATCACGGAACGAATTATTCCCACAATGCTCTTCAAACTGCTTAGTATTCGCCATTTCCGCTCTGTTCCCCTCCTCCCCCGACAGGACGACCACGTCTTCCTGCTAATCCCATTACGTATACGCAGCGTGGGCGCAGCGGAACGCATATTTTCTGCATATTTAATCCCCTGCCAGCTGCGAATCCGGATGCTGATACGGATGTGAGTTGATGGTGAGCCTGGATGGATGGTTGGTTGGTTGGTTGAAGCTTGACCACGAAATTAAGCTCCATTTGAAGCACTCGCAGCTGGCCAGGATGCATGTGGTGGCGCGTGCTCGTTGTTAACTACGTGCCACCTTGTGTTCCGTCCGTGTTTCCACTCTCTCTCCTTTCTAATTAGCCCGTAATTGTGTAAAAATGCGAAGAATGTACGTGTACGCCCAAGGAACAACATTTAAATTACGAAATATATGCAGAGCTGGTACAGGGGACTTGGGATAAACCGTGTTTCCTTTAGCTGACTCTGCTTACCATTTCCGTCATCTTTTCTCATTGCTTTTGTGCATTTATGCAAATTCTGGAAGAATCTTCTCTCCTCTCTGGTGATTACATTTCCACAACGCTTCGTAGAGATTTTGCTACAAAAAAATTGCATATATTTAACTTGGCCAATTTCCCCAGCGAAATCTAGGGGCCAAGTTGGCTTTGGGTTCTGCGTTAATTCGCTAAACGTAATTGGCATTAGGCCAAGATAAGCATTTGGCAGAGGGGCTCCAGGAACGGACCGGAAGTGGTCCTAAGGCATGTGCTATTTTATCAAATTACGCACACACGGCGTATACGCAACGTGATCCGGGCAAGTGGCACGTGCCATTCAGCTGCCGCTGCCTTTGCATTTATGTTTATTTATAAAATATTTAAAAATATCTGCAAGACGTGCAAATAGACCAACGACTGTGCTGTGACATTTGCGTTGGTCCGAAGGTCCTGTCCCTGTCCCTGTCCGTGTCCGTGTCCGTGTCCGTGTCCGTGTCCGTGTCCGTGTCCGTGTCCGTGTCCAAGGAGCAACTAGTTAGCCCCGGCTAAGCCCTGCTGAGCTGCTGCGGCTGCCTGGTCAGTAATCAAGCATCTCTCGGGCATTCCGCAAATAGAATTTGTGTCTATTTCTTTCAAAACTTTTTTGTGCCAGGCATTTCCTCTTAGTTAGAGAGAAGACCCTTTTTTTGCTGTCAGTTTTTTGTTTGGAAAGCTGACAAAAAGTGCACTGAAAAGGAGGGATTTTTAGGGACTCAAAAGTCCAACATATATGGAAAAAATTTCAATAAATAATATATTTTCCTTATAGCAATAAGCTACCGGGACTAGCTTCTATTTAAATTTCTGTATTACTTAGTTTAATTCTTATTTTTTGTTCACTCTGCATACTGGTTTTTTTGAGCTTTAGACTTTGTTCATGTCGCTGGCCATGCAACACATGTTAAAAGCCGATCACGTACGCTGCGTGTCCTGTCACAGGACCTCGTATAAGTCCAAAATCTAAGCTACAGTGTCGGAAAACTTGTCAGCACAGGCCACATGCATGTTGCTTGCTCCGCTCCTGGCTCCGCTCCTGGCTTCCCTCCTGGCTCCTCTCCTGGCTCCTCCTCCATCCTGCTATCTCTGCCTGCTCTGTCCTCCTGATGGCAAGGCATACAAATTGAGTTTGCTTTTGCTTGCTGGCAAAATGTCACTGCCTTTGGTGGGCCTTGCACATGCACCGCCCACTTCCTGGGATGGGACACCTCTCGCCCTGCCGGGATTTGCATGTGCAGAGGAGGAGCTTCAGGGCAATCGGTCACGTCGCACTGATTGACTGACTAACACGCTGCCAGGTCTTTGCCTAATTTGCATGCAGTTTTCCCCCCTGTACCTTTGCGATTTCATCTTATTTAATTTCGTTTTATGTTCGCAAGCAGCATCCTTTGGGTCTCGAAATAAACTCAATCATACGCCACATCATCTGCACTTTTTCACCTGTCCTTCGCTTGCAATTTTATTGCATATATTGAGTGGCGAAAACTACAACAAAAACCACACATATAACACACACAACAAAAAAGGTGGAAAAGCACACGTGTATCTGTATCCTCCTCCTTCTCAGGTGTGTGTGTCAGTGCTCTTGACCCACATTCTCCATAACAATGCAAATTTATATTAAAACAGAGGGGAAAATAAAAACAATGCTTGGCTATGAAACACGGCGAGTGTGTGTGTGTGTGTGTGAGGGTTCCATTAGCGAGAGTGCACAAATCTGTGACGTGTGCTTAGTAATTGTGTCAGAAATAATAAACAAAATAAACAAGGATTGTCCCCGACACGCACATAATGAGCAAAAAAAAAGGTGGCAAAAATAAGGTGTTTTTGCTTTGAAGCGGAATAACAGATGCTATGCAGAGAGAAAAAATATGAACCTACAATATATTTTTTTTTATTACTTTAATTAAATCATTTAATATTTCATATATATGACAAAACCATATATAAACCTGGGTTGAAAGCTTTATAAAAAGGTCTTTTCACCTATTAATTATGAGATAGATAAGAATTGACAGAATATATCGGGAAATAAAATTTTAAATACGCAAAAATCTTTCAATTTAATATTAAAATATAAAAGATAATGCACAAAGGAAATGCTCACAGGCCTGCCTTCAAAATATATCTGCAAATGAATGTACTTATCGCTTTCAATCTCTCGCAAATCTCCTGCAAAAAAATTGCTTATTTATTACGCATTCCATCATATTTCTTTCCTCAGAGATAGTCTGCTGAAAGCTGCCGGCCAGCTGTCATAATTACGATGTTAAGTGGCTGTCGTAAATATACATTTTAATTACCCAAACCAGAATTTCACGGAAGACTGCCATAATCATCAGCATGCAACGCAATGGCGTCTGCCCGTGGCGACTCCATTTTGATTTAAATCGGCGCACAAAATGGCCGCCCAGGATGTCACTTGGCCGAACTAACGACTGTTCTTGTTTACCTGCTCGCCGGGAGAATGTTTTCCGGTCTGCTTTTGAAATAAAGACAAATTGTGACAAATGAAGCATGATAATAAGTTCGCTAAATGGGACTTTTAAGCCAAAAGCAAAAAGGGAGAGGGGAGAAAGCAAGCTTTTGCGGTTGCCAAGATTGCGTCGTGGGTCCAACATCTACTTTTGCTTCTTGGCATGGCCATAAGGACTAAGCCCATTTTTCAATTTCCGTCAGAACAAAGTCTTGTGGTTTTTTCTGCAGTTTTTGCCTACTTTGGGTTTTCCCGGGTTTCCCTGACTCTCTCCCTCTCTCTCTGTGTTTGGGTTTCTCCATTACCATTTCCATTTCGGGGCTTGTTATTGGAGCAAATAAATCTGCTGCAAGGACAAACAGTGGCCGTACTTATTGGTTTCGGTTTCTCTCTGCTTGTAGATTTTGTGCAAATTTGTTTGTGACGTTCGCAAAACAAACTCTAAATAAACCTGTTTAATTTATATTGGCCACGGTTAGAGCTTGTTTCAAAACAGATGGGGCCATCGGTTGGCTAGAAATTCAAACAAAACTTTAATTAATATTAATCCTTTGCACAAAAGCTGATTACGGCTTGTGTTCCTGCGTTCAAACTCATTAAAACTTTGCTCGATTTTAAGTTAATCCCGGGCCGTAATTAACTGGATTAAGGCAGTGGTTTAATTATTCAACGGATTGAAATTGAAATTAATGGCACACACTTTTGAATTTGTAAAATATTCATCTATTAATTTTGTGACCTGTGTTTGTACACATAAATTGTTTAAATTAAGCCCGGGGCAAGGTGTTCAAATGAAGCCAAGCAAATCGGCATTCAAGCTTGGCAATTAAATATTAACCGAGTGAATTTTCCAGGAGCCTCAATAAACACGTTGACAGGTGAAGGAGGAGGACTTGGACTTGGAGTTAAGGAATTTCTGGAAAAAGGTGCCAACATTGTTGAAATATTTAAGAAGCCGTCGGTGCCGGGGCTAAACGTTTAACAGCAGCTAAATAAATACCTGACCTTCCCACTCCTCCTCCTCCTCCTCGTCCTGTGACACGGTGACAGGTGAAACCCACATGGACATTGTGGCCAGTGGGCAATATAAATTAGGGGACCAGGTTGCTTCCAACATTATTTTCTTGTCTACTTTTAGCCCACTTTGCCGGGGTCCCAGTAAATATATCTTTTATATAGTAGATACACACAGTAAGTGTGTGTGTGTAAAGACGAGGTAAAAAATCGCCAATTCAGCGGCTGAACATTTGTTTTAGCTTTTGCCTTTGCTTATTGCGTGTTTCATGTCAATGTTGTTGTACCTCCTTTTGTATTTTTTTGTTCTTATTTTGTGTGTCGCATGTTTTCTGGATCCGCCTTTTTGTTCTTGCTACATCCGAGCCTGGGAGGGGAAGCACACTTAACAATATACTTAAATGGCTTGGCCTGACATGGTCGTACGCTCTTGTTGGTTTCTTTTTTGTGGGTCTCCCCATGGCGGTGTAAATGGAATTACAAGCTTGCTTAAAACCGAAAATCCAATTAGCAGGGCACGCTGCGACGCTGTTTTATCGCAGTTCCTGTATGTAGTTGTTACCCAGAGAGAGAGAGATAGGGATTCGGCCGAGGGGGACAACACGAACGGGTCCTAAAAAAATCTGTCATAAATTCTGGTGGCCGTTTGGTGATACTTTCAAGATGTTTGTGGGTCGTGTAAGTCCTTATTTATGACAGGGATTAGTCTTTAGTGGAAATGTACACACAACTTTAGTGTAAGTTCAACAAGAAAACATTGATTTTTTACACTATTTCTTTAAATTTCTAGAGGAAGGTTATCTACAAGGATAGACAGAAGATTTAAATCTATCTTAATAACCAATATTTTCCCTAATCCACTTAGGTTTTATAATAAGCTCTCACCCACATGTATCGAATTCGCAAACAAATTAAACAAACCCACTGCCTAATGTACATTCATAATTCATCATAATCAAATGGAATTCGCCAACAAATTAAGGCCAGACAAACCAGCCGGATGCAGTTCAATTACCACAGTCCTTTGGGTAGGATCCTGGTCCATGCCGCGCCATAAACCATAATTAGTGTTTGTGGGGGAGGGGAAAAGCTCGGTATGATTATGCAAACCGATACAGCTACAGATCGGAGGTCAGGCCGCAGACACAAACAAAGTTGGTAGAGGTCAAAAGGCATTAGGCCAAAATGCGTAGGTGATTCTCTCTGTGCATCTCTGATTCCGGTTCGTTTGGCCAAAAAGGTGGCCATGAAGCCAAATGCAAACTGCAAACTGCATGTGCATGTACACATGTACAAGAAAATATCCTTAAATGGCTTTCGATTTCCCCATGCACAGTTAGTGTCCTTTTGTGCTGTGTGTTTGCTCTCATTTGCATACGAAATGGGCTAAATCGCAGCGTTTTTGGGCTCAGAAATTGCCTTCACTCGACTATACACATATTGTGTGTGGCTTCGGTTTTTCTCTCCATTCGAGCATTGTTTTTCTTTTTCTGCAATTTTACAATATGTGCTGTGTGTTGTGAGTTTACAACTAGGCCAACACCATTAGCCAGGAACAGGCCGCCTGCTAGCGATAACTGTGAATAATGATGAAGTTCTAACGACTTTTGTTTTGAATGAATCGAATCGGTTCATGTTTCGATGTTGGTTAAATAACGATTTGTTTTATGCAATCCGAGGGGTTTGTTATAAAATAATCAATTTTAAACGAAGTTTATTAAAGAGGTTTCTGTAATAAAACAAATTCAACACCCTGAATCCACCAAAAGCATACTTTAGGACTTTAGGTTCCCTTCAAAGCCTCTAATTGAGTATGTGCTCGGTCACAACGAAGGCAGACACAGATCCTAGACGTGCTCTCCAGCATCCTTTGAGTTCTCAGGCGAGTCTAATTAGCCGTGGCACAAATGTATGTATGAAAGGCAGTATAGGAAGGAGGAGAACCATAATTAAGCCAAGTGGGTCCGGAACGAGGAGTGCAGATGGAAAAGTAGTGCCGTAGACGATGACTACGCACACGTGAGCTCTGACAGAGAATCCCTAATGCGGTTGCGTATACGCCCCGATGACAGCCTCTGACTTTTTAATGAGCCGGGGATGGCTACAAGTAAGGATTCTCTCTCTCCCTGTCCTTGCCCTGGGCAAATTATAGCTAAAAACTGTCAGCGCTTGAAGCGTCTTAATAGGGTTAAGCCACGATGGCTTCAAGATTTTCATTATTTATAAGACAGCGTCAGGCTGTTGGCGATTAAATAACCAATGGCAATGGTGACACCACCAGAAAAACCCTTCACACTTCCGCCAATAGTGTTTGCCTCCATCATTAAGACTCAGGGCAAAGTTTCCCTGTGACAAATATTTTTGTTGCCACGCAGCTGAATATATATTGCGTAACAAGGAAAGTTTGCATTCCGCTCGGCGCGGTGGTTTGTAATTTCAGCTTGAGTTCAGAGTCGAAGTTGTGCAAAACCCGCTGATTCGACAACAATGTGTGCAAGGGAATCCGCAGGACTCGAGCAAGGATCAGCTCCTAGAGGTTGGTGCAGCGTGCAAAACTTCAAAGACGATTTGAGCATGGAAAGTTTTGCCTTGTTCTTGTCATTGTCTTGCGTGTGCAACACCTTTTGTACACAGGGAAAAATGTATAGGAATAATTTTATCAAATAGCTAAATAACTATTTATATATAACGTTTAAAAGTTGACTTTTGTATTGCCTAGGCTCTTTAATATATATCCTTGAGCTATTTCTGTTTTTCTAAAGATCTTTCTGTGAGTGTAACTCTCCTCCTGCCTTGATTAGATCACGGACCCTGGCTAGCGCACCTTTTTAAGGTCCTTTATCCTTTAGACTTACCCTTGTCGTTCGGATCGAATTCAGCCTCGAGTTCGGCTTTGGTTGGCTCTGCGGCGGCTGCCTCGGCGGCGGCGGATGCCGATGGAGCTGCTCCGGCGGCGCTGCCATTGTTGGTCGCAGTTTTGGTTTCCGATTTTTTCATGGTTTCTCTCACTTTGTGGCCTCGAAAGACGGCTTGGATTTTTGTTGCGGCTTTTGCTGTAATTAAAAGTGGAGAAAAAATACGTGCAAATTTGAGACAAAGTTCTATAAATAAGTCCTCATGATTTTATATTAAGTGTGGCAGAATCGATAGATGGAAAATAACTCAACAATCAAGACATCATCACCTTATGTGAATAATAATAAACTTTGAAAAGCCACTCCTCTCTCCAACTCTTACCAGTTTTATAACTTTTCCTCCTTGAAAGAGGAGAAACCTTTCCAGCTTATCTCATTCCAATCCCCTCCATCAGCAGTATAAATCGATATAAATGAGTTTTATCATGACCCAAGAGCTATCATGTGTTGTGAGCTCCAGTGTCGAAGAAACTTTTGCTTTGGCACATCATCGACAGTTCTTAAAAACTTCAGCTGCAGCTTTCAGGCAATTAACTTCAAAGGGGTTGTCATGCACTGGGATCCCATTCCACAAACCAATCTCCTCCCTTGGGTAAAAATCCGCCCGCCGGGGCTACTCAATCGATTTTGAATCGAGCTGAGCGAATTTTCGGAATTTTTGGCTCTATGCCAGAGTTGAGCGCGGCTCAAAGGATAAGAAAAGGGAGAAGGGAAGCGAAAAGGACGAGGCACAGGACGAAGTCCTGGCCTGCTAATAAACTTGAAGCGCAAGTTTCGCGCAGAAAGGAAGGAAGGAAGCCCAGGAAGGCTATGTGCAATAAACAGAAATATATTGAGCATGTTCCTGTTCCCCATTTTGTGGGCCCCCAGTTACCTCCCCTTCCTGCCCGGGTCAGCATTCATTTTTTATGGCGTTTTTCACGCAGATACCGACAAAGAAGCAAACAGAAAATATATGTATAAAAAAAAGCAACCAGCGGCCTTGAATAAGTTATATTAAATTGACACGTAAGGCTTTCGGTATGCCAGCCAAACACTATCAATAAGGCAGACCCAGACCGAAACCGAAAGCGAAACCGAAACCGTTGCTAAAAAATAGTTGTTTGTGCTTGGCACAAGGTTGCTCCTAGTGGGTGGCAGTGGGTGGCAGTGGGTTAGCTAGCTGGGCCGATAAGTCCCGGCAAGGTTGTTGCTGTCAAGTGGCGAGTTCTATGCTTTTAATAGCTGCCCAGTGCCGCCCGGCTATTAAATCATCGAACATCCATCCATCTCCCCTATATCTTGATCTGAACTAAAAACTGGCATTGAGTCCGCTCGCTCTCTAGCCATATGCTTCAAGGATTATTCGACTTTGAAATGGTTTTGTTTCCACATCAAATAAAAATAAAAACACATTTACTTCTCCTCTGTGGCTTTAGGGCCTTCCGCTTCCCCGGCTCCTCTGGTAACAACATCAAAAATCTCATATATATTTCATGAAAGCTGCTTTTTTAATAAATTCCCACAAAATCGTAAAATGTTTATTTGTTTTTTACTCGAGTGAAAGGAAGAAAAAAGAAATGCAAATTTAACGCTGAATTGGATTTATTAATCTGCCAGCTGTTCACATTTCCTAGGAGCCTCTGGGATTTGCTTTGGAATTATTTAAATCGTTTAAATAAATTTGCATCTAGGGAATTTCAGACCAGACCAGCTTTTGTTTAAATTTCTAATTAAAATCTGTGCTTTGTTTTAGTTTTTGTCATAAAACATCATCAATAAATTATAATTAGTAACTAAAAACAGGGGAAAATGAAAATTTATATAGCACATAATGGCCCCTGTTTTAGTGCGACTATAAAATGCAGTGAATTATGTGTGGCAAGGTTATTAAATAAATTTTGCATGCGGCTCATTAAACCTGACAGCCGCAGCAGAAATACACTTTTTTTCTGTTGTTTTTGCCCCTGTTCCGAGCACTTAAATTGAATACCCACAAGAGGGAGGGGGCAAAGCGAAGAACTCACCTGAGTTCGCACCTGTGTCTACACGCAACGCGTGTATAAAGTGCCTGACACTAAACGCAGCACGCACCCAATTACACACGGTGCCAGGAACAGGCTCCGCACGTGGAGAGGCCATCTTCGTACTTAATTCATTCATAATTTGGCATTTGCCAAGCCATAACCCGGAATCATTTCCGTTTCCGGCAGGAAAAATATGATTAAATTTGTCAAGCTCAAGACCGGTCGGTCTTCTGTTCCATTCCAAGGCTCCTCCTGACCGAGTAAGTTATTTAAGTAATTAAAATTCATTAGCTAACGTCTCGTTCGCTTTACCCTCCCCTTCCGTTTCCTGTTCTCCATCTTTTCCTGCTGACAATTGTCGCTTGTCCTGCGGCGAGGTTTTTCACAATATTTCCTCCCCCCTCTAATTAATGCAATTTCAGACTTTGCTTCTCTGTGAGTTTTCTCAGCTGGAATTGAGTTGTCTTTTAATCAAATGGTTTTGTTTATACGCTCTACAAAGTCTAGAAATATTTGCTGAAAAAAAGAAGGATCCTTGTCACTCGGTTTAATTTATTTCGATTTATAATCACGTAATGCCAGCCCAAAGCTCATACTTTCTCCTCCACGAGCATCGCCTGCAGCAAATTACGTGCAATTTATTATTTTAATTAAATTGCTGGTTGTCAGCCATCAGGTTGCTGCAATTTTATTTGAATTTTACTCCGGTATATACTCAGGTGGCCCAGTTGTACGCTCGCAAAAATAAGAATAAAGCCTTGGGTACAAAACCGGGTAACCGGAGGGCGAACGAACAATGCCTGGAGAATATTAAAACGAATGAGTTATGCAGGAGACGAGAGCCCGGCAAGAAGCGGAGAAAAATTGAGAAAAACTTGGCCCAGCTGTGTGTGTCTTGGCCTTAGAGCAACATAAGCACCGAGCTCAGTCGAGCCGGAACTTAAATAAATAAGCAAAAGAGCAAACAGCGAAGGACATCAGGACTTCTCTGGACACCAGAAGGCAAACAGTTACTCGGATTTCTCTTTTCGTTTGAGTCAGAAGAAATTTCATTTATTAAGATTTCCGGTTACCTCTGACTCTAAGTGGAGTTTAAGTGGACGATCAGTGAAGGTAATACGAGGAGGTTTCAAAGAAACCTGTACACTAAATAAATTAAAATTGTAGATACAGGAGCAAAGGATTTATACTTCTTCAAAGCTGAGAAGCTGAACTTGCATAATTCCTTTAAGCCATATTCCAGCATTTTCTATACTCATCCAAAACCCTATCCAAAATAAGTTTCCTGGGAGTCATTACACTTAAATGCCTCTTAGATAACTTCACCCTGGACAGTCATTTAAGCCTGACAATGTCCATTAAGTATATGAACATGTATGAGAACTTCAGGGAACTTTTCCCATTCACATTTCACTTAATCAGCTTTTGATGAGCTCCCGAAAACCTGAATCTTTCTCTCCCACCTGTGATGTGATCTATTTGTGGCTGTCATATTTCGGTGACAAATTAATGGCTCACATATATGAATTTATTTATGGTCTTAAACTCTAACTCAGACTGTTATCACAAAGACACACTCAACTCATAATTTATTTAGCTGATTTATATTATTTATTTCCGTTTATTGCCGTGACTGCTGTTTGTAAACGGTTGCCATGATGTCCTGGTGTCACCGGTAATACCCACTGTGCGTGGCATCAATTCATGACCTTGGCTGATTACAGTTTTGTAAAACGCAAACATTTATCAGAGGCGGCGGATCACGAAAGGGAAATGTTTGTGGCACGTGCTGGCAACCGCAAATGGCGGGGGTGCTGGCGAAAAGGCAACTATTCTGATATATTGTTTGGAAATTGCTGGGGGAAATTGGCTGAGGGAAACCGCACTATGTCACTCCGAAACAGTTGTGGGTTATCGATTGCAAGTCTGAAGTATTTCTCTTCCAATCAAGTGCCTTTTTCTCGGTTGGAAGTAAGCCCTAGGAGTTTATGTAGGGTAATTTGCCTAACCGGGCTCACCTAATTGTTGGGCTAAAATTATTTTGCAGAGCCCGAGGGTCAACGGGAATGTATCAGAATGTGCCATAAATTACAGGCTCTTATCTGAATTAAATGTGACTTACCAACACTGGCTCACTGGCACACTCACAATCAGATCGGCCATAATGAACAGGCTTTGCATAATTAAACCCAGGCAAAACCACAACTCTGCCTATCGCTCTCTCGTCTCTTGGCCATTCAGAAAAAGGTTTATGGAGGCAAAAGCATAATTCATGTGAATGCTCGGCCATAAAAAGCAATTTAAAAATTCGAAACATTGCAAATATAATTCATTTATATCTATTATAAATTATATTTTCGTTTTTATGCTCAATTCATGCTTCAAATCCAATTTGATTGCTCCTCTGTCTGTTATCTAGGAAAAACCCCTTTCACATGAATTATCTGACTTAATTGATTTTTGTTATATATTTTTTTAATATAAGTCCCAAGAAAAAATAATTAAAATTTCATGTCCAGGCAATTATTTATAAATTGTATTTTTTATTATATTGTTGCAGCACGATTTATGCCGTATGTTTGCTCATATTTTTTAACATTTTTAAAGTTGCGCATACGAACCGTAGGCCCCTTTTCAGGGGATCAAAAAAAAAAAAGAAAACTTTAACTATTTTATATGCAAGATGGCGCAGCCTAGAAAATTATAAAGGTCAAAAAAAGAAAAGGCAAGAGCTGAGTCCCATCTGGGAATTGGGAGATGAGCCATAAGCTGGTCACGTTCCACTTTAGAGAATAAAAAATAAATAATTCCATTTGTTGACAATTTGCCTACGTGCGACCAAAGAAATTCATTCAACTATTTACAGAACAAACTGTTTGGCGATGATTAAATATTTTGAAATAAATATGTATTTTGAATAAATATGTATTTGAATAAATATCTATTTGAATAAATATGCATTTAGTTAAGCATACCATATAGAAAGTCTTAATTGGAATGAAAAATCGCTGATTATAAATGCAATTAGTTGCGGTGGAGATAAGTCAAGTTAGAAATTCAATTAAGCCAAAGTTTTGATTTGAAAAAAAACTTTGTCTTGCAAAAAAAGGATTTATAGCCAAAGTTTGTATA